AAGAGTTTAGTCAGAAGGGCAATGAGTCTTCACCAGGAACAAGGATGAGATTCTTTTGTTGTTGTTAATTCTCACCCGAGGATATTTTTTTCATTGATTTTAGAGGGAGGAGGGGAAGAAGGTGAGGGAGACAGAGAGGGAGAAACATGGATGTGAGAGACACACATTGATTGACTGCCTCTTGCACACACCCTGACTGGGGCTGGGATTGATCCTGCAACCCTGGTGCGTGCCCTTGACTGTTGAACCTGAGACCCTTAGGTCCACTCGCTGACACTCTAACCACTGAGAACACCAGCCAGCAAAGATGTGATTCTTGCTTCCAGTTTTCCCTTCTGACGTCTTTCGTAGGTTCTCCATTGCCTATCAAAGGCAAAACTGTGTTCAGTTTCACACCTGGTGGTCCAATCTATACTTTCAGAAGATTCAACTGCCATAATTACCAATCGTCCCTCCCCTTCTACCCCTATATGGCTCAAGGGCAGGAGTCAGGCAAAATAAGACTCCCAGATGTTTGTCCTACCTGTCCAGCAACTCCTCTCCACCTCTATCAGACAGTAATGTGAAATAAATGAAGACCAACTAAATGAGAACCACCAAAGGCTATTTATTCTGATCTCCCTATAGCAACGAGTCAGCCACTGTCACTTGCATTTTGGCAGAGACTCGAAGGCAGAAATGGACACAGGACAGCTTTATAGTGGAAAAGGGGAAGGCTTCTGGTGTGTCCTGATTGGGTATTGACATGAGGGGATGCTCACTAAACGTGAGGTGTCCTATATAATTGTTTAGGGGGTTCATATTTGGCTTTCTCTGGCTGGTCCTGAGTTGAAGTAGGGATAAAAAATAGGAAAGCTGTCGGTATTAATCAGGTCCTGGCCATTTGGGGCTGATTGTTTCAGGGGCTGTCACTACAGATAAAACAGTCTGACTTCCTGTTAGTCTGTCTGCCTTCCTGGTCTGATTATTGTAGATAAGGGGTTGGTTTCCTGGATTAGTTACTACAGGCTGGGGGGTCAGAGTTTTATTTTTATATGTGGTTTGGCCATTGCCCAGTGGTATATTCCGTCTCCTGTGACAAGGGTGACAAAGGAGAACATGGGCTCTGCGGCTTGGGAAGGGGTCCTGGAAACGAGAGCAGGGCCGGGAGCGCGCAGCCTCCTTCCTCGCGGCCGCGCCGGCTGGCCGGCAAGCCGGAGCTCTCGGTGAGGACAGGGAACAGGCCACACTGGCAACTGTCATTTCAGACACCTTTGAGCATTTCATTAAGTTTGTAAGTGGATTCAAAGTTTTCTTAAAAGTGATAAGATTTGCTAAATTTATGAAAAGAATAGGATTTGGGTTGAACTGAAAAGCTGAAGCAAAGAACTAGCTTTTATTATTTTCAACTCTACTACACTGAATATAATTTTTTGAGACCAAAGCAAATCCCTGGAGTCGCTTGGGGGCAAAGGCTGCCTGGATGGCCCCCCACTCGCACTCCCGGGACCCCTGGCAGTGGAATGGGTGGGCTGTGGTGACGGTGGGACATTTTGTACAGCTTGGGGCTTTCCAACATGTGGCATTTCTTTCATAATCCTTTGTTTAAAGCTACTTAAAATTTCTATGCAAAAAAAATGTGAATAGTGAGATAATGTGTAAGTAAACATCTAACATGGTGCTGGGTAGGGGTAGTCCCTTAATCCTCAGAGGATACATGAAAAAACTTGGATAGCATTGAATTACACACACTCACACCCACAGTTTTTAATACTGAACCCTATATATGTTTTTTCCCTATACATGCATAGCTATGGTAAAGTTTAATTTATAAATTAGGCACAGTAAGAAATTAACAACAAATATTCAAATAAAACAATGATAACAATATAATAAAGTTATATAAATATGGTCTCTCTCAGCAAACTAGCAAGAATGTCTTTTTCCTTCCTCACAATTTCATGGATTGGTGACTCGTTCTCACCATAGATCTTAGCAACCTCAGCATGTGATTACTTTTCTTTCCTTATTGAGAACGTCCACCTTTTCACTTAAAGGAAGCACTTTAAGGTTCCTCTTTAAAAATCTGAATTGCCAGCATCACTACCCTTGGGCTTTGGGGCCGTTATAAGTAAAATAAGAGTGACTTAAACACAAGCAGTGACAGCCAGAGCATTGGTCTGATAATGGAGATGGCTGCTTGGTGACTAATGGGCCATGGATGTACTGGGCAAAGGAATGACTCATCACCATACTCAGAATGGCACACAATTTGAGTCTTACAAATTCTTTATTTCTGGAATTTTCCATTTAATATTTTCAGACCACAGTGTACCATGGGTAACTGAGACCATGGAAACGAAAAGCTGTGGATACTGGGAAACTACTGTTATGTCAGATCTCATCATGACCACCAAATGAGAAGGGGCGTTAGCTTAAGGAATGAGCCCATAGTTGTCCTCTGCTGAACTTAAACTGAACTTAAACTGCTTGTAGGAAAGAAAAACAATATTGGTGCTGGTCCCAAAGGTGCTATTTTGGGATCAGAAAAGGCTTCTGTTTGTTCAGTTATGAACTATACATGACTTATAGACTGGAAGCCTAATCAGAATTAAGCTGGTCAAAAAAAAGGTCAAAGGATGAAATGAGTTAAAATATGAATGTTATATTGCCTAGGATTTTTAAAAAGTTGATTTTTGTAATATTATCTTTTATATTCTATATTCTCCATAATTTCCTCTCTGCAACCAGGGCCATGGCAGATTCAAACGGAACCTTTCTGAGACCTGTAGACTTTTACCCTCTCTGGGTGACGTTGCTCCTGTGACTGCGGATTAGCGATCAGACGCCAGCGCTGTGCAGGTAGAGGAAGCACCTCTTCCTCCTGGCCGGTGCGGTGCGACTGGTGCACCTGGCGTGGTGAGCAGAGACAGGTGCGCTGGTTTTCAGCTCCCACCTGGTCTCCAGGCTTGGTGCCTTGTGCTGGGTTCAACCCCAACAACTGTACGCAGCAGCCCTAGCTGAGTCTCCACCCCATTTTCCCCAGAAAAACCATGTTTCAAAGTGGAGGCTGTGAAAAAATATAATTTCAGATATAATCTATATAAAAGTGTACATTTGTTATCTGAGATCATTGGTAAATAGCAGGTATATCTTTGCTTTTTCTTAAAAACATTAAGACAATTAAATGAGTAGACCACAGTATTGTTTTTAAAATATTTTTATTAAAATGCCATAATTATAAAAGGATATTAAAATGCACAGAAATCACGAAACATTACAAATTTTACATCTTATGCCACAGTGTATGGAGTGTTATGACTATTTCAGTTCCATTTAGTTAAGATACTCATACATTTTAACTTTCTAACATCTTAAAATATAATACAAACATGACAAAATGGTACAAGAAGTGTTTCAACAACAAAGCCCTCCTATTGTGAATTAATGTTTTCTGAAATTCAACATGTATGTGCAATTAAAAGGGAAGACTTCGGTGACTGTTTACAAGATGGCCTTGTGTAGTTTACAAACAAAAATGATAGCTTTCCCCTTCTAGTGACATAACTAAAATATCAAAGGGATATTTAAAAAAAAATCCCCTGAGTATTTTGGTCTAATGCTTCACACTATTAATATTCAGAGGCATTACAAAAGGATACAACATGAACATTTCTCTAGTGGTTAACACTGGGCAGTTTGAGGGCCAGATTTTCCCCTTCATGGTCCACGGCCACGCCTAACCATTTCCCCAGGTGCTCCCTCTGTGCACTTCCAGGTCCAGCTCATCACTGCTGCAGACACAGCCCCCGGGTTTCCTCACCTCCAACAAGTTGGCACTAGACTCATATTAACAGTGTTGGTGTCATGGGTGACCCTGGGCTACACCACAACTGAGCTGTCTGGGGATTGTTGGCAGTGTCATACATCACATCTGCCTTTAAATTGTAGGGTTCCCCCCACCCCATCCACAGAAGCACATTTTAGATCTTGAAGACAAGGTATGAAAGATGGTTTATGAAAACATAAATGCATAATTCTTTTAAAGTTTTATATACAAGGAGATAAGGCAAGAACATTCCTTTTCCATGCTTCCATACACAACGAGTAATTGCCAAATCCAATGGCAGGAGACAGTCATACGGTTCAGAGAGGAGGTAATGTGAGAGGAAATGACGCCACCTCTAGGAGCAGTGTCACGGGGAGCGGGACGTGGCACCCTGTCTGGGCTGTGTGGAATAAGAAACAGTTTCCCCCCGGGTAAGAAATTCATTTCTCATTCCCCGTGTGCTCAGACCTCACACGGCTGGTCTTGAGCACTTCCTGATCACATCGTCTGCATTATCAAGGAAGTTAGTAAAATGTTGTTCTTGGTCCATTGGGACAATTCAAAAGTCCAGAAACTGCTTTGATGAATCCTATATAAATACTGCTTTAAAAAAAAAATTCATGGCAGGCATTTAGAATCGTGACCTGGAGTTAGACTCCGCTATTATAACAAGCCTCTAAACACTAAAACATGTTTCCTTTCTCTTTGCTGCTGGGATTCTGAGCAGCTTGGCTCCTGTGGCCCTGGGCACTGAGCAGCGCCCCCAGTGGGCGGTGACCCATCTAGCAAGAACCGGTGCTGGGACTCTCCTGCACCCAGTCAGGGTGAGGCGTGTGGCCCTGTCTCTTCTCTGGCGTTTACCGAGGGCCTAGCACCTGAAGGGCAGTAAAGCACTGTATAAAGCCCTGTAAAGGATGCTCAGCTGAGCCGAGGGGCAAGCTAGGCAGGAGTTCAGCAGGATGTTAGCTCCATTTTCTTTCCTTAGCCTAAATGCCCGATAGGGTTAGGGAGCAGGAAGCACAAATCAAATCCAAAGTCTTTTATTTTCTTTCTCTTTTTTTAATCCTCACCTGAGGATAGTCTTCTACTTATTATCAGACAGAGTGGAAGGGAAGGAGACAGACAGAAACATCGATATGATAAAGTCACATCGACTGTTTGACTCCTGCATGACCCAACCAGGGCTGGGGACGAACTGCAACTGAGGTACATGCCCTTGGCTGGAATCAAACCTGAGACTCATTGGTCCGCGGGTCAACACTCTAACTGCTGAGCCAAACCGGCCAGGACCAGAGTCTTTTCTTGATCGGGAATAATCTGGACCTACTCCTGTCTTTCCCCCTCCCTCCCCTCATATGCTCCCCGGTGCAAATGTGCAATACAAACACGTTACTGGGTTGGAAATAGGAGAACGGAGGGTGCAAGGAGCTTCCTAGGGCAGAGGCTTTGGTGTGCCGAGTGTATGGATGAGCAGAATCCCTGCTGAAAGGTGCTCCCCGTCCAGGGACGCAGCGTGGCTCACCATTAGGGCACTTGGTGGTCTCTTAACCACGCACGGCACCATGATGTCACAGCCAGCCCTTTGCGATGGTGCTTGTGACCTGTAATACTGTACATCCTGTAGCAAACGGGTAAAGGGCAACTGGTGGGAAATTGATGGGCTTATCTTTTCCAGACCATTAGGCTGATAGAAATGTAATTTTAATTCCTTTTTTATTCAAGAAACTACACATCTTTAGAGGAGGTAAATTAATTATCCTGATCAATAGGTGTTACAATTCTATTTGAATCTGTAACTTTCCCAGCTCTTGTCGTCTTATTCCCTTCAGAGCTGCAAAGCAGTCCACATTGATCAGGCACAGCGTCCTGGGATGGCTCCAGGGAGACAATCAGCGTCTCGGTGGGTTAGCACGGACACGCTGCAGGCCTCGCTGTCCTGGCCCGCTCCACGAAGAGCGTTTCGAGATGGACAGAGAGGCCAAAATGAAGACCGAAACCATTTCCTGTTAACTGAGGTTTCCTTTTCTGTAGGGCTGTGATAATACCTCTAAGTATCATGAATTCTCGAGTCTATCTGCCACTTAATACAGCATTCAGGCTGAATTCTGAGTTAGTGATTTTTAATCATGCAGAGACTAGCATGTCTCGCCTTTGGTGACGGCCCTGTGAGGGGGAGACAGCTGGCACAGATCCGGCAAAGTGAAGAAATGAAACACTCCCTAAAAATAATCAAAAGGTTACTTGATTCCTTTTTATTATCTTGTTTTCCCCTACAAAAGGTATTGGAAAACAAGAATCCATTCTGCCGCAGAAGGGGTGATTTTTAAGCATTCTCATTAGAGATTCATAGTATTTTTTGACAGAGCAAAATTCTTTAAAGTGCTTCTCAGAACATAAAACTCTTATTCTAATTTTGGTCGTAAATTGTTATCTATTGCTCCTATTATGCTCTCAGCGATGACCCCCATATTTTTAGTCATATCTTTGAGGTGATTCTCATGAAGCAGCTTTTGGGTTAGGTATTTTTCCCTCTTGATCTTGCTCTTCGTGCTTTTCGATACGTCTGGAATTGCATATGACAGGAAAAATTTCACAGAGTAGATGATATGCTGAAGGAGAGAAGAAGAAAAGAGTCAACTGCAGAGACATGGAGGAGAACAGAGTTCCTTTTGTTTAGTTTTGCTCGTCATTATGGCAGTGTATCTGGACAAGGTGGTCGATATCCGTCATGGTCCAGTCTCCTCCCCATCATGTGGCTTTGGCAAGGAGCTACACGTTGTTACTTTACCTATGTCAAGACTAGTCTTGATAGGTAGGACAGAATATATCTAATATCTGTAACACCACGACACTGACTATGCTGTAGTGTTTTGGTGTGTGTTCCTTTCCTATCTTATTCCCAAGCCTCTTCCCCACAGGTAAACACACTCCTATCTGTGCAAGTATATCATTCTTTTTTCTTTAAAAAATAGTTTAACAAAATATGTATATATCCCAAAATAATATGCTGTCTGGTGTTGCTTGATTTGAGCTTTATAAAACTCATGATATTGTATACAGTGTTTTGAAAATTGCTTTGTTCACTCAAAGCTAGTTTCTAAGATTCATCAATGTTACTGTATATAACTGTAGTTCATAACTATAGTCCATTTTCACTTCTATGATTTATTTGTTCCCATACAAAGGGTACTGGGCTCGTCTCTAGTTTTTGTATTAGAAATGATGCTGGGAATGTTATTGCTCTTGGATCCTGGAGCATAACTGTGAGAGTTTCTCAAGAGTATGCACCTAAGAGAGCATATGTTACATGAATGTTCAATTTTGCAAGATTGCACTCAAGTATGTCTTTCCCAAAGTAGTTACGCCAGCTCACACTCCCTCCGGCAGTGCATGATGGGTTCAGTTGCTCTACATCCTTGTCAGCACTTGTTATCAGACCTGGATTTTCCTTAAACAATATAGTAATTATGAAATGGACTTTCACTTTGGTCTTACTTTGCATTTCCCTGATGATTAATGAGGTCAAATACCTTTTTATTTATTTGCTATTCAACAATCTCTGATCGAGTAAGGGGTTAGAGATACTATACATTCAACATAATTAAAAACAAATAAATTAAACATGATGTTAGAAGCAGTAACGCTATGGGTAAATAAATGGTAAAGCAGGGTAAGAGTTAACAGTGAGCGTTATGGTGGCAGGTACATTTTTATAGATTTTATATAGATTATTGGATATTCCTCACTGAGCAAAAATTTCAGTGAGGTGAGGGAATCAGCCACGCAGTTATCAGGAGGAAGGACACACAGGTGGAACAAACAGGCAGGCAGAGTCTGTCCAGTGGAACCTCAGGATGTGGTCCAGGAATGGCAAGGCTGAAGGAGGCAATGACACCAGGGAGCTATGGACTGTGGCTACATTGTGTAAGATAATCAAGAGCCTGGTTAGAAGACTGCTGTGCTAACTCAGGCAAGAAATGATGATAGTTCTGACTTGAGTGATGGCAGCAGAATTGGCAAGAAGTGGTCAGATCTGAGGTGTCTTTCAAAAGGAAAAGCCAACAGGACTGGATGTGGGGTGTGAGGGGGCAGAAAATAAGGAGAATTCTGGCCTCAATAACTGGTGATCTGAGCAGGAAGACTGGCTGTGGATTTTGGACAGGGTTCGGAGGAGAACACTAGCAATAAATTTAAGTAAATATGGGAATTTGGGGCAGTGCATCTAGGCTATCTGTTAGCCATCCAAGTACAAAGGTCAAGGAGGCAGCTGGATTCATGGCTGAGTTCAGGAAAGAGGTATTTTGGAGATATCCATTTGTGAGTCATTGGTATATATATGGCATTCAAAGCCAGCGGACTCCATGAGGTCCACCAAGGCAGAGAACAGAAAGAAAAGCAGACAACCGAGGAGCCAAGTGAGGAAGAATATCAAGAGTGATCAGCTGTGTAAAATGCTTCGGGTCAGTTCGGTAATGTGAGGGTGGAGAATATTTTGAGATGAGAGAGAGATTAGTGTTGGAAATTATATAATAAGAGGCAAAAGTTGTTGTAAGAAAGAGGTTCTTTTCCCCATCTATTTCTGAGGTAGGTAATATTTATAAATATGTGGATTTTCTATGTCACACTACTCTTGCATTCCTGTGATAAATCCATGAGGTATGTCATCTTTTAAAAATATATTGCTCAAGTCAGCCTGCACATTTTAAAAAGATTTTGTATCTATGTAATGAGAGAGATTGGCTTACAATTTTCCTTTCTCTTGTCTGATTTTAGAATCTAAAAGGAGTTGGGGAATATTTCCCTTTTGATCTCTGGAGGAGTTTGTATGAGACTGAAATAACCTGTTCTAGAAATTTTGGTATCACTCTCTTATAAAACCATATGACCTGGTATTTTCATTGTGAAAAAATTTTTAATTACTCAGTTTTGCTATAATTCTAGGTTTATAGTTACCTTTAGCATTTTGAAGATAGTGAACTATTTTATGGCTTTCATGTTGCTGTTAAAAAGTTTAATTTCAATTTTCTTCATCAGTCATCTGTCTTTATGGTTACTTTTAAGATCTTAACTTTGGTGTGCTGATTTTCCTTATAATGTGTATAAGTGTGGATTTCTTTATCTGTTCTGCTTGGGATTTTTTGTGCTTTCTGCTCGGTGAACAGATGTCTTTCATATATTCTGGAAACATTTTGGCTATTATCTGTTGCATATTGCCTCTCCTCCATTATCTATTCTTTTCATTTTGTCTTCCATACTACTTAACCTCTTTTTCAAAATTTCCATTTTCTTATTTCCCTGTGATGTGTTGGGGTAATTTTTCAGACCTAACCTCCAAATCACCAATGCTTTCTTCTGATTTTCCTAATCCATATGTTAATTTTTCATTTCAACAACTATATATTTTCATTTCTAAAAGTTCTATGAAATTATTTTTCAAAACTGCCTTGTAATTTTTTTATAGTCCCTTATTGTTTGCTCGTTTTATACTCTCATTTGTTTAAACATTTTTATATACAGTTAATTTATATTCCTTTTCTGGTCATTCAAACTCTTAAAGATATTGATGGTTCAAATTACTTGTTTTTTTTCTATTTCATTTCATTATTGTTAAATTTTTTGTCTTTTTTCTTCTTGTGGAGGTGATTTTATTTATTCAAATGCTTTTTATTTTTCAATTATAGTTGACATAGATTAGTTTCAGGTGTACAACATAGTGATTAGACAATGATATAAATTACAAAGTGATCAATCACCCCAATAAATCTAGTACCCATATGACACATAGTTATTACAATATTATTCTCTAAATTCCCTCTGCTGTACTGTACATCCCTGTGACTATTCTGTAACTACCAATTTGTATATTCCCTTCAGCTTTTCCACCCATTCCCCTACCCTCCTCCTATCTGGCAATGGTCAAAATATTTTTTGTTTTTTAGATTCCACATATATGTGAGATCATATGGCATTTGTCTTCCTCTGTCTGACTCATTTAACTCAGCACAATACCCTCTGTATCCATCCATGTTGTTGTAGATGGTAAGGTTTCCTTCTTTTTTATGGCCGAGTCATACTCCATTGTATATATGCACCATTTTTTCTATCTATTCATCCACTGATGGACACTTAGGTTGCTTCCATATCTTGGTTATTGAAATAATGCTGCAGTAAACATATGGATGTATATGTCTTTTCAAGTTAGTATCTTGGTTTCTTCAGCTAAATCCCCAGAAGTGGAATTGCGGGGTCCTTCTTTCTCTCATTTTAGCCTTTGCTTTAAAGTCTCATTCATCTGGTAAAAGTACTACTACCCCAGGTTTTGTTTGTTTGTTTCCATTGTTATGAAATATCCTTTTCCATCCCCTACTTTCAGTCTGTGTGTGTCATTTGAACTAAAGTGAGTCCCTTGTAGGCAGCATATGTGAATCTTCTGTTATCCATTCAGCCAATGTATGTCTTTTGATTGGAGCATTTAAAGTAATTGCTGATACATATGTAGTTATCCCCAGTCTATTATTCTGATTTTAAGATCCTCTCTTTGTCTTTAACCTTTGGCATTTTAATTATGCCATGTCTTGGTATTGGCCTCTTTGGGTTCACCTTGTGTAGGACTCTCTGCACTTCCTGGGTTTGTATATATATTTTCTTTGCCAGCTTAGGAAAATTTTCTGTCATTATTACTTCCAATAGGTTTCTAATTTCTTGCTCTCTCCTCCTTGCATACCCCTATGATGTGAATGTTGGTTTGCTTGATGTCGTCCCAGAGGCCCCTTACACGATCTTCATTTTTTTGAATTCTTTGTTATTTTTGCCGTTCTGACTGGGTGTTTTCTGCTACCAGTATCTTCCAAATCACTGACTCATTCCTCTGCTTCATGTAATCTACTTTTGATTCCCTCTAACACATTATTCATTTTGGTTATTGTATTCCTAATTTCTGATACAGGCTGCATGTGCCCTCCTGTTGTGTGGAGGGACTAACCCTCAGGCTGGCTGGCGTGAGGCCTGCATGGGACTGCAGTGGAGGAGCTGTTGTGTGGGGCTGATCCTACGTCCCAGGATTTGCTTTCCTGGGGCGCTGGTGCCTGCTGAGCCTGCCGTTTGTGGAGGTGGCTGAGTAGTGCTCTGAGGCTGGCCAAGGGGTGTGCTGTTTCTGGAGCCTCTTGCGGGGTGTAGGCCAAGATCAGCTGCTGCCTGTGCCCTGCCCACCCAATATGAGCTACAAAGTGACCTGCAGATGGTTGTCCCATGTCCTGGGCTTGGAGGTGTCTGAGACAGGCTAAGCTGTGAACTGAGGCCATGTGCCCCTAATGCTATGCTTGGGGCCACTTAGCCAGAGGTACAGGGCACCGAGGCCAGATGCTGCTTATCTGGGGTCTGTGAGATTGGGAGATTTTAGGAAAGTCCATAGTATAAACCAAGACAGGTTGTTTGCATGGAAAAGCCACTGGACTCAGCTTCAGAGGACCCCAAACCCAAAAGTTGTGCGGGGTGAGGTCTCAGGGAATCACCAGGGCAGGGAGAACAATGTTAGGCTGATGAACTCAGATATGGCATCAGTCAGTACCCGAGGGGGAGGTCTCAGCAAAGGAACAATGGCTTCTGTTAACACTTCTGTCTGGGAGAAAACTGCCTTCTGCTCTTGCCCTGATGCCAGACAATTCAGCTCCTTCGGGTTTGTCCTTGATTCCTTCTGAGCTGTTGTCCTAGTGCTGGATCTCAAAGCAAGTGAATCTGAATAAGTCTGTGCACTGGCCCATTAAGATAAATGCCTGGGACTCTGTCTCACTGAGCCACTCCTTGCTGGTTTTCATAGTCAGAAGTGATGGGGATTTCTCTTCCTGGCACCAGAATCCTAGGCAGGGGAGCCTGGTGTGGGGCTGGGAAGCCTCACTCCTCAAGGTTGGCTGCAGCCTAGATACCCCTTCCCGATTTTTATCTGCCACCCATGGGTGTGGGACCAGTCAGTTCCCTGTCTCTGCCCCTCCTACGAATTTTGTTGTGGCTTCTACTCTCTATCCTTAGTGATGGAACTCTGTCAGCTACACTTCAGGTGGTCCTCAATGATGACTGTTCTGTAGTTTAATTGAAATTTTGAAGTGTTGGCAGGAGTCGGGAAATTCAGCATTTATGTAAGCAGCCTTCTTGACTGGAAGCCTGTCGATCTTTTATTGTAAGCTCATATTTGAGTAGTTAAATTTGAGAAAAACCTGGAGTCTAAAATTGAGGACGCTTTTCTCCAGAGAAGATATACATTTCCCTCTGCCCCGAGACCCCTTTTTGGAGTCCCTAGCTGAATCCAACCGTCTTGAGCTCAGCTCTTCCACCTGCTTCTGACCTGTGAGCTTTTCGATGGAGACGCTGATAATGTACTTGTTCTCAGAGACCCCCAAAGTCCAGCGTGCTTGCTGCTCACTCCTTTATTGTAGCCCATCGCCTTTGTTCTTTCCTATTTGTAGATTCCCCTCCCTTTAAAATGCAAAGGAAAATATGTTTTAAGCTGATTCTAAATGTTTTGTAGAGAGATGGCCCCTCACAGTATCTAGTCAACCATGACATCGAAAGCAGAAGTCTAAACACTGTGGTAACTACATATTTGAACAGTAACTCTTTCTGTATACCAGATACTGTACTTCAGGAAATCGCTTATGATGGCAAGCTAATGAGGAGTTATTTTCTTCTTCTGTTACTGTTTAGTAACTATTAAAAAAATACTAGACAAATGATCTAAGCCAGGTAGGCAATCCCACTTCATTCTTGCTAACAGATTACGATTTTCTTCAAATACCTCCAGTCTCGCATTCTTTGCTGCCGGGAGGAATCCTTTGCTATAATTCTAGCCCATGAGATGTAGATGGAAATCTGCTCTGGGGGGTTCTGGCAAAGCATTTTTTTTCTCCTGACGAGAAGGAACCGATATGGCTAGCATTATCTTTCTTCTCACCTAGGACGTAAATGTGTTATGTAAAATTGCAGCTGTCATACTGCAGCCATAAAGCTGCACTCGGAGGGAGAAAACCTAGGAAATCCGAGCGACGGTCCTTGTATGAGCAAGCTGGTATTGATTCAGGAGCAGTCACCTACTTCCAGGGAGGTTTATGTGAGAAAAATCAACACTGATTTGTTTAAGCCACAATAGATGGGTTTTCTGGTCCTTGCAGCTAAATGTTATCCTAACTGACCACCCCAATCAAGCAATTTCTGAGGCTTTGGAATATGTAGTGGTCACTCGGTGTAAGAAGTAAAGTTGGCTACATCAATTTAAAAATTATAGCTGCCCTAATCATTTTTCAGAGATGGTTAATGTTAAGAATATAAAAAAATATTATAAGAAGGTATATTATGAAAATCAAGAAATATATAAAATGATTAAAATATTATAGCAATAAGTTTCTCAGGGGCAGAGATCACATCTTACTCATTTTGAATAAGGCCCTTCTCAGCCTACCATGTAACCCGCCGCTCCTCCTCAAAAACACCCAATACTGAATTGAAAAAAATGGAATCCCCTTAGCATACAACAGGCTTTTAACATTTAAAGCAGATAAGCAACTTAATTTAATTAATGAAAGCTTAAAGGTATTTTCAGGTCAAATTTGATTAATAAATGTCCTAAAATAATTATAAGCAAGACATAAGAACATATTGCACATTTAAAGTCAGAGTCGGCAACACGGAAAGCTGATAAGAAGTATGCAAATACACTGCCTTCTGTACAGATGTGCGCATGCGCCGCCTACCTCCATGACGATGATGAAAGCCAGCTTGGCTGCGATCACGTGCCAGTAGTAGATGTTGTGTTTATACTCCTGGGGGTGTCCAGGAGGGTACCGGAAATCACGATACCTGGAAACACAATGGAGGCCCATCAGGAGGGAATTCTTTTTTGATGTAAAACAAGGGCCCATTTAAAAAGAGTTCATATTTAATACAATGCTTTTAAAAAATCAGACATCATATAAATATTCTCCAAGAGTTTAATTTAGTAACAAAACCCTGAAATACTATTCCAGTAACACTTAACACACAATAGGAAAATGATGGTAATGACAGACTCCATCTCTGTGACAAGAGAACAAAGGCATTTTGAAAGTTTTGCCAAAGTTTTATCCTTCCTTTCTCAAAAGCGTGTGACTAAAGCAATTGAGTGTATTTTCTGAAATGTGTTTGTTTATTTATTTATCCTTACCCGAGGACATTTTCCCATTTTTTGTTCAGATAGAGTGGGAAGGAGAGGGAGAGAGAGAAACATCGATGTGAAAGGGACACATCGAGTGGCTGCCACCCACACGACCAACCAGGGCCGGGGACAAACTGCAACTGAGGTACGTGCCCTTAGCGGGAACCGAACCCAGGTCTCTCTGGACCGCAGGCCGACGCTCCAGCCGCTGAGCCAAACTGGCTAGGGCCGGAAATGTGTTTATTTAAATGATGTCATCAGGGTTCACGCCACTGTGGGCCCTCCCCCACAGAGAACGCTATCTGTGTGTTACTGCCTTACTAACCGCCCACTGTCAGATATCACCTGCGACTGCAGTTAGTGTCCCTCCGTCAGGTAGCATGTCTCTAATTTTCTTCCTGTAACCTATTGGACCTAGACGAGTTTAATTACTCTTCGGAATTATGCAAAGCAGATTCCGTGTGGAATTCTGAAGAGGCTCTATGTGTAACTTTGAAACATTTACTTGAGGCGTATTTCTGGTTTCTTGGTTGTGTTGTTGAGAATCTCAATCAGAGAAGGCTTGGAGGAGTGGAACTAAATAACTTTTAAATCCTCCTTTAGGTTTAAGGCTCTGAACAAAAACACTCGATGACCCATAGTCATCAAACTTTATCAACTGGTAACGTAGGGCATGTATACTGTCCGCAGGTGCGCTCACCAGCCATGAACACCACTGCAGAGCACTCTGGGACACCTTCAGAGAGCCCTGCTGGCCAGGCGGAGGGACCTGCATTTCTTGTCTTTGCATTTCTTTGTTAAGAGGGTGCTAGTCTGTCATCATTCAGTGTTGCCAGGTTGTGCCTGAGTGACATTAGTCGTAACAAATGAAGTATCTTGCTTTTGGAACTCTTGGAATTTCCTCATTTCTAAGGTACAAGACTTTTTTCTCTGATCGGTCTCCCTGTGACCATCGAAATTCTCAGCTTTAAATCTTGCTTTATGATTTGATTTGGGAACTCTAACCCTAGTCTATATTAACTTTTATATACTATCCTTTTTTAAGTTTGATTGAAAAGAAAGCTAGGAAAAGATGTCTCTAGCTATTTTCTTTAAATGATAGCAAATGGAATTACCTTACAATAAAAGTCCTAAAGATGAAGTGCATTTTTATTTTTTAAAATGTTTTTATTGATTTTTTAGAGAGAAGAAGGAAGAGAGATAGAAACATCAATGTGTGAGAGAAACATCAACTGGCTGCTTCCTGCACACCCCCTACTGGGGATTGAGCTTGCAACCTGAGCATGTGCCCTGACCAGAAATTGAACCGGGACCTCTCAGTCTATGGGATGACACTCAATCCACTGAGCCACACCAGCTGGGCATGAAGTGCATTTTAAAACATATAAACAGAACTTGCCTGCATGTGGTATGGTCACCAAGCCCAGAGTATGGATTTCCCTTGCTTCTGTTTTTGAAGTCCGCAATGTTGAAGATGGAGAGAGTATTGTTGATGTATCCCTCCATGGTGTAGTGGGTGTGGTTCCCATAGGGAGGGACAGAGAAGGACCAATAATATACCAGGCGGGGGATCATGTCTGATGTGAAAGCAATAATCATGGCCTGAGTTGGGAGGAAAACAAAGGAGCATTAACTTAGAGCCTTTACAGCTATGGTTAATAAACAAGCCAGAATTACACTTTCATTAGTTGATTGTTTTTAAAATTAAAGATTCAGAAACCTTAATTCTTTCATAACTGTATCTATAACAAATGGATACAGATAGTGAATATCCTAAAATCTGTGAGCAGCTGCTTTAAAGTAGAATAGTTACTTTCCTTTTGGTCTTCAGTTCTAAGAAATGCCTGGAAGTCTATCCACCGTTCAAAAGCAAAGGGCTGACAGGTGCCTGTTATATTTCTTAAGCACAGTAAGAATAATTGTGGACTCTGGTACTGTGGGTAACTAAAGACTTGTTTGCAATGTAAGATATGTAAATTATATTTAAAAAATGAGAATATAAAAAAGTTCAATCAATTTTGGGGTTGTATTTAATATAATTTAAATTTTTCATGATTTAGATATAGAAGGCCCTTTTGTATAATGTAATACTAAGGTCAATATTCTAAAAATAATTTGGCTTTATATAATTCCTTTGTAGAGTAGATAATTAATGCAGAACTGATTTTTAAAAATGATTTGCCTCTTAAAAATAGCACGTAAAACACATTTTCCACAATCTAAGTTAATAATGGCCTTTAAATGTATACTTTTTTCTCTATAGTGTCTGGATTTGTTTAGATAAGTCAGCCTATAGCCTGATTTTTTAAAAAATATACTTTTATTGATTTTATATTTTTAGAGAGAGAGAGAGAAAGGGAGAGAGAAACATCAACTGCTTGACTTATTTTAAACTGTAAATATATACTTATATATGTTGCTTCAGTAGAGAGCAGTAATTTTTAAATTCATTTTATTAAAATATAGAAAGCAACCCCCCCCAAAAAAACCCTACCTATTTTGGGTTTCTCCATTCACACAGTCAAGCAATGGTGTCTGTAGTGTTAGACCTAGTAGCTAAGCTTCTAACCTCCCAAAAGATTAAATGGATAAAGTTATGACCATTATAAATGATCAAATAACAGAGTTTAGTGTGTTTCCAGATTAAAGGAATAAATATGGGTCAAACTACTTAAACCTGGGTCTAAACTAGGCCGATACCTATTCTGACGGAAAGCTACTGTGAATTACATAAATTGTCACCAAAATTTTTAATTTGGGCTTTAAGCTTTCTAATGCATAAAACTGGTGTGAAGGAAGGAGAAAGCAAAAAGTATATTTTAATCCAAATTCTATGTGAACAAACAAAGCTAATTGATTCAGGCATTTACTGAAGCAGAAGAACACACATATTTCTGGCACACGATGATTTTTAATAGTATTCGTTGGAACATATGGTTCAGACACAGTGAGTGAGACCACAACCAACAAACAAGATCTGGGGCGAAGCAGCAAGTAAAACAACGAAGGGGCTTTTCTGATGCAAAATTTCCCCCAAAGTGATATATTTCCATGTGTGGTTGTGTGGGTCTGCCTGCCTATCAGTGGTGGTGGTGTAAGGCAAGAATTTTTTCCCAGATTTCAACAAATTAAACATTTTTATTTTACTCAATTATTAGAATCACCTGCATGTGTGTTTTAGGAAGCTAACAAAATTCCAACAAGGAAGTTAATTCTATTATATTCTGACAAGATACTTTTCTTCCTGAACTGAGCTTCTTAGAGACATGCTACGTACAAATAAATGCAATGTACTTCATTTCCCATTTATATAAAAATAAGGTAAAACTGGTCGTCAATAGAAGGTGCTCTGGCATGATCCAATTCCGCTTATTTATTGAATGAGCAGCTTTAAAATGAATGATTGTATACCAAACTCCTGCTTAATGTCCATTCTCATCCCTTGTAGTTATTTTCTTCTTCCTACAGTTAAAAGTGAGCCTTTCTTGCACACATTAGGTAGATGAGGAGATAACATACATGCATAAGAAAATGATGCCTACGTTAAAGAAGGAACGACTACTTGGGTAAGAACCAGCAGCACCAGTGAGTGGGCGTGTGTGTGCCTGTGTGTACACACACTCATACACACACACACACACAAAGTAGCCCTGGAAACACAGCCAATATTCCATCTGCGCTAATGGAGTGGAGCCAGGCTGGGGATACTAGGAAAAGGAGCCTAATACAATCAAACCAGAACGGTTGAGGAATGGGGAGTCTGACTCAATTGAATTTTCCAGTTAGCTTAAGGTCAAACAAAAACCCTTTTAGTTTCAAACCTTGTTGCTGAAAATTTTGCTAAAGCACCAAGTCCACGTTCCTGCCATGCTTAGTGTTGTGCAGCATATTGAACTTGACAGATTCATTCTCTTATGACTGTGGAACTCAAAAGACCTCACTGTCATATTTATGAACATCAGTCTTCATTTTGCAGCACAGTGGATATTGAAGGTGTGGGCTATCTGGGTGAATGGACACTGATATAACCTATTAGTTGCTTTTTTTGTATGATTTGCCACTTTCTCCAAAAAGGAGGGATAGCATGCAATTCAGATAAATTGAGGGTTCTTGGGTGTGACAGCTGGGTTCCAGATAACTGTGTTATTGTGTAAAATGGTAACTAATCAGGGTCCAGACAGTGACACATTGTAAAATTCTTGTGCCTCTAGTTTAGACAGCTGTCAGTCTCCAGAGTCACTGTTAATGATGAAGAGTAATGAAGGGGATAAACAGCAGCAGCCCACATTCCACGCACTAACTCACTGAATTCCCTGATCACCCTTTGTGGTGTAGGATATTCTTAGAGTGTGTGACTGGGAATTATTCAATTTACAAATGATGAAATGAGCCCTGAGTGTTAAGGCCTGGTCCATATGCGCTGTTGAATTCTGTTGTTTCTCCAAGTGCTTGTGGGAAAAGGCTGGGGACTCAGGGCAAGTGTGGCTTGATTGAGCAATTAAAACTGGGCTATCATTTTGTTGGGGACTGTGACCTGGGAGTGAAATAAGGGAAGAAATAGCCCTGGTTGTAAGAGTACTTCTAGGGCAGGAGGTCCCCCAATGAGCTGGCATGTGGGGAAAAAAGGGAGAGACTAACTCTTCGGACAGGCCCATAATTAACTGAGTTCTGTTCCCTCACAGCTGGGATACATGCAGGCTATGAGGCTGCTTAGCTAATAACCAGAGCGCCCCCCCACCCCACTTGTGAGTAAGGGGGTGGGGAGGAGAGATGGGACCTGCCTTCTTAAAGCACCTCTGCCCCTGGAGACAAGGAAGGTAACACTGATTGGGAATGCACAAAGTGTTTATACTTCATCAACAAATAGTTAATGTTTTACGTTGATAAGTTGCAATAGATGGTAAAACGTGGTGGGATAACAGCTGTTATTTTAGGGTCCTCACACCTGGATAGATTTTTATCTCCATCACAAAAGCACCTTCGGATAACTCCTTTTATAGTCATGTAAGGGTTAAATGTCAGCACTTACAGTTATTACTATTACCATGTTTCCATTGAATAAAAACTTTAGCAAATGTGCAGCCATAATAATGGTTACTTTTCTTAGCAACTGCCTCTGTGAGAGGTCTTGACTTTGTAAGTCACGAGTAATAAGCATAAACAAACAAACTACATTAAAAAATAATAGCAATTACAATCATTACAACTATGCGGTTGATAGTCTTGGCATCTTTCTCCCATTTTAAGAAATACCAAACATTTGATCCCTTGGGTAATAACGCTAATGCATTTTAGGCCTTTTCAACATTTGACCCCGTGACCCCCCGGTTTTACTCACGTTGGTCACCACAGCTAGAATGGCTATCCCCTGCATGATGGGCTGCCACGCGCCGATGTCCTGGGCCTTTTCTGGCACCATGCGCCTATACTGGGTAGTCATTTTCCACGCATCCACTCTTATTTCCAGTATGTTGTTCACCAGAGCCAACAGAGGGGCCAGTGGAAAAGAGGCCACAAATAAGGTGACAAAGCCAAACTGAATAACTGTCAATGAAATGGACACACATCATGGATGGTGGAGGGATGGAAAGACAACACATTTTCCTTTACTCTTGTAAAGAAAGGCAAACAATAAACTAACCCCCAAAGAGAACAGACATTCATGGTACTAATAATGTGTAACAGTGAAAGAGTTCAAACAAACACAAATATGAATCTCTAGGAAAAAGACGAATTATAGCCTGTTTCTTTCACACACACAAACACACACACACACACTTAATAGGAATAATACATTTAAAAATCTTTAACCAACCAAATGAACTGGGGACACTCTAAGTGTACTATTCATTCTCAGTGTTGAAGTACTAGGATACTGGAAGATGATTTGTGATTTCGGATTAAAAAAAATATTGTGGAAGTATCTAACAAGTTAAAAAGAAATGAGACATGCACCTTTGGGGAGACGATACTTAGAGAACGTTGAAAGAAGGGTGCTGAAAAGAGGCACTCGAGCAAGCCTCCCCCGCCCCCCGGAGTCTGCAAGTGCTGTGCCATTCAGAGAATGGGAGGTATTACTACACACCACAGAAATGTATGTGATCACCGTGTTCTTAAGTTAAAATACAATCCTTCCTTAGGAAGTTTTATCTTGAAGTTGTGGTGGTCCGTGTGGTCACAGTAAATCAAGACTCAAGTGGTGGCTGAGCAGTTCTCTCCTTGTCTGTAACTTACACGGTGTATATTATCTACACTCCACTACATTCTACTCTTCTGTTTTAGACCCTTCCGTCCTCACTGGCAGACCTTTAAAGTAAATTAGTACAGGTATGTAGTACAGGTATGTAATGAAGGCTGGGAGGAGGGGAAAATGCAGCCCCTTTAGGGCTACTGCTTAGACAAGGGGCAGAGACCACTCCAGCCCGGAAGGGCAAGACTGCGGAGGGGTGGCTGGTAGGAGACAGTAATGGCTTCTGGTCTCAGAGGCTACGGTGTGTTAACGGAACGGCAGACAGGTGTGGACCAGTTCAGGGAAATCAGATAAAGGACCAGAGTTGGTGATGTCATGGAGTCAGCAGCACTGCATCAAGCAGTGATGTCAACATCTGTGTCCATGACTCATCTTCCTCCAGGGGCCAGGCAAGTAATAGGGATGAGCAGATGGGTGTGGCCAAATGGCAAGTGCATGTCTTAATGAAGGGACACTCACAGTCACCAGGTCTCACTATTCAAGAGGAGCCAGACATTGGGACTCTATTAGCAATAAACTCAGCTAAAAATCCGAAAAGGGAAAGACCAGTTATAATGACGACAAAAGCACAGACTATTTAGAAATAAATTAGTGAGAAATGCTAAGACTCTCATGATGACTTAAACAAACAATGATGAATCAATAAATGGTGGGCAGACTCAATTTTGGAGACATAGCAAATTTTTTCTCTAAAATATAAATTAGAATTTGAATGCAATTTTAGTTAATGATCCCAAATAAATTTAAGAAAAAAAGCTGAAAGGTGATGCTGAAATTCTTCAAGAGATATACACAAATACACAAGTAAAACAATGAGGAAGGAATGTGTGAACTGACAGTGTTAGGGTCATTCTGAAAAACAATAAAATGGGACCAGCTCTATGAGATATTAATGTACATTATAATGCTATGATAATCGAAACAGTCTAGAACAGGTGTGTTGATAGATAGTATGAATTAAACAAAATGCATTTCAAGAATAGATGCAGATATTCATGGGATTTTAATGTATTACAAATGTGATACTTCAAATCAGTAGATTCAAGTATGGAGCAATTAGCTCCACACTGGAAAAAATGAATGGAGTTCTCACTTTCGACACCAAAATCAATTCCAGATGGTATCTCTTCTGATATTCAAGTGAGAAGAACTTTCTGAACAACTTTGGAAAAGCCCTGCTGCAGCCCTCACCCCCCCTGCAGCCCTCACCCCCCCTGCAGCCCTCACCCCCTTGCAGCCCTCACCCCCTTGCAGCCCTCACCCCCTTGCAGCCCTCAACCCCTGCAGCCCTCACCCCCTGCAGCCCTCACCCCCCCTGCAGCCCTCACCACCCCCTGCAGCCCTCACCCCCCCTGCAGCCCTCACCCCCCCTGCAGCCCTCACCCCCTTGCAGCCCTCACCCCCTTGCAGCCCTCACCCCCTTGCAGCCCTCAACCCCTGCAGCCCTCACCCCCTGCAGCCCTCACCCCCCCTGCAGCCCTCACCACCCCCTGCAGCCCTCACCCCCCCTGCAGCCCTCACCCCCTGCAGACCCCCCCTGCAGCCCTCGCTCCCTGCAGCCCTCCCCCCTGCAGCCCTGCTGGTGCCTTTGTGTTTCAAAGCCACTGACATTTCAGTTCTTATTTATGTGATTGTTAGGTAGCTTTGATATGGCCAAACATTTCCCTCTCTGTGGAACGTTTTTCCTCTTAATTACTGTTTTCCTTAAATTTAAAAAAGCCAAGGGGTGTGTGTGTGTGTGTGTGTGTATAAAAATAATTTATAAAATAAAAAGTACATTTATATATTTACACACACTTTTTTTTTTTTTTGGTTTGTTTCATTTTTTTAAAAAAAGGCTACCTAGCTACAATGTTTTTCCATTTTGGAAAGCTCATCCTGTAAAGATAAGGAACGTCAATACCGTCAATACCGGTGGTGGACGGAAACAACGAGGGAGCGGGGGAGACAGGCCTGTGTCCTGCAGAGTGGGTGGGGGCTGGAGCCCCCGGGAGAGAAGAAAGGAAAGGGGGTGGTGGGTGCAAGGAGCAGGTGAAGAACAGTTGATACTGAATGGAGAAAATACTACATGGAGGTCTTTTTTTTTTTTAATCCTCGCCCGAGAATATTTTTCTAATTATCTTCAGACAGAGTGGGAGGAGGAGAAAGAGAAAAACATCGATGTGAGAGGGACACATCAACTAGCTGCTTCCTGCATGACCCCGACCAGGGCTGAGGACGAACCGCAACGAGGTATATGCCCTTGACAGGAATCGAACCTGCGACTCATTGGTCCTCGGGCGGACATGCTACTGCTGAGCCAAACTGGCCAGGGCTGGGGGTCATTGTTTTAATAAATGTTTAAAAATTAACTTAGGGATGGTGGATGGGAAGGTCAAACAGGGCCCCTCATCACTCTGCTGCATTCATTTACGGCTCCCGCCCACGGGAAGGCATCACCAAGGGCTTGAGACACTGGTGTGTGTGCTGAGTGAACGAAATGCTATCTTATGTCCTCTGGATTTTAAGACGTGTCTGCGATTTCAGAAGTCAGAACCATACACTTGGGGAGGCAATTTTGGTTAACACCCCAGGGTTGTTCTAATAATCTCAAAGGATAGGAGGGAATTCGCTAAATAAAATAAAGAAATTTCACTCAAAAGGCTCCTCCAAAAACATATGCCATACAGAACCTGGTGGGGGTGGCTGGGGCAATCTGAATGTAAATTCCACTCACAGTGGTATGTGTGTGTTGAAAGTCCAAGCTGAAGCCACTTAAATAAATATTTACGAGGACGAGGTCTGGGGCGGGGTCCAGCTGACTGAAAGATGCAGATGCGGGGGCCTTGCTCCTCCCTCCGGCCGAACCGTGCGGCCAGGGACAGGCCCGCACGCAATCACACACCACCGACACAAGTCACGCTAACGCCCAGAAAAAGAGCTGCGAGTCTGTGTGAAAAGTGGAGGGTTACCGCTGAGGCCTGGCAGGACTTCCTCGGACAGAAAAGAGGAGAGGCATTTCGGGTGGAGGGGAGCAGAGCTGGTGGCCAGTGCAAGGCCCACGGGGCAGTGGAGGGCGCCGGGGTTGTTTGTCTGAAGGTGTTTCCCTTCATAACTGAAAAGGCCGAGGGTGCTATGGTAATGAATGTGGGAGACGGAGGAAAGGAGGAAGGAGGAACTGCGGTGCCGAGACCACCACCGAAGGCTCTGTTTTAGAAAAACAAAAATAATTCAAACCACACTTGAAAATTCTATCTCCCAGACTGAAAGAACAAAAAATAGATTTCACTCTGGATTTGGATAGAGAATAACAGACTGCCTCCTCTTAGAAACTGATTAATTTTCTAAGTCATTAGAAATAGGATAATAGGAGAACAATTTAATAAATCTATAACAGTTGTTATTCTATCTTATAAGGTAGGGTGAGGCTGAATTATTTAGTTGGAAATTATTTTAATGAGATTAGGAGACTCTAGAAGTCATATCAACGTCTCCCCAAAAACATGACCATGTAACTCAATGTCATTGGTTTGACTCATCAACTACAGGAAAATAACTTTTTTTTTTTTTTTTTGGTGCTAAAATAACACATGGTATTCTGCCCCAGAAGTTATTATTAATGTTGATAATAGCTCCACATGAAATATTTATAATTATGACTCATTTTAGAATAACAGGTAAGTGTCTTGAAAGTCCTTTTGGAAATGCAGAATAAATATAGCTTCTGCATTATTTATGGAAGCTACACCCTTAATTGAACCTGGTCACAAAACATAACACAAGCAAAAAGGAAATTCAAATTAGGCTGCAAAACAGGTCAACTGAAGAAGCTACAAGATGAACTTCTTACTCACTGAAGGAAGTAGATGTGTTTCCATGTATAACATATATTTTTAAAAGCAATTATTTTACATATAGACTGTGATTTAATAAAAACCACCCTCTCTCTCTGCAGACTTATAAACAGGAACCACAAAGGGGTGTCTCTGCAAACACACAAACCCCTTTGCATAAATGCAAGGTCTGTCACCCAAAATGTTGTGCCTCCTTTTCTATTCTCCTAAGCTTTAAAAAACCATAATTCAATGCAATGGTTACCTAGAAGGGCGCAGATATAAAACCTGTACATTGTTAGCCTTCTGTTAGCTATAAGGGTGTCATGCATAATAGAAAAGGTGGTGCTTCCTACAGAAATCTATTTTGAGATGCATCCATTTAAAGGCAACTGAGAGCTCACAATCCAGTTCAACGGAAGAGAAACAGCCCAAGCAAACACTCCACAACAGGACAAAGACCCTCAGGCGGGAGACCTGTGCTAAATCTTAATTCCAGACCAGCGAACTGTTCTGAATTCAAGCCAGTGATGAGACTAGAGGTCGCTCAAGGAACCAGGCAGAAACCACTGGCCAGAAGAAATACATACGCCGTCAAAGGCAGTGGTGAACGGGGGCGGGGGCTGTGATCATCCCGGGGACAAGAAGCAACATGCTCCTCCCACAGGCTTTCTGGACAGGCTTGCTTACACGGCTCGGCTCGCAAGTGCATTGGCCCACAGCTGTGTCTGCGTGGACTCCAGCCCAAGCTGAATCAAATCTAATAATAGTTCCGAGTTCATTCCCAGACAACACGGTCAGAATGCTCTGAGAATTAATGGCGATGATGTACCTCAACGCCTCTTCCATGTCACCAGGATACAGCATTAGCTCTGCACAGCATACATTCTGACAACGACACACACAGTCACCTTATTTGAAAGCCTGAGTGTATCATCTCATCTAGTGGAGAAAAACATTTCCCGTTTCAATACGCTAGATAATTATTTGGCTTGAAAATCATGACTTTGGGATCTAAAACACGCTCCAATATAACTTATATCATCTAGAATTTCACTTATGACTTACTCATTTCAAGATATTCATAAAATAACCCCAGTCTGCCCATGAGTTGCAGGTGGTAGTCCTGTTCCCATCGCGGGCTTATCTTTTCTGAGCCCGAAACGGTGCGACAACGTCCGATTAGATTCTTCACCCAGCTGCAAAAGGATCACATTGTAAATTAGAACAGCATCAGACTAAGGTCAGAAAAGTACTCAGTGATATCTCAAGCTGAATACATAGTCTTCCCAATACATTAAATTTTATTTTCACATACATTGTTGACGTCTGCCTCCCTACTCCAGAGTATTTGGAAAAACAGTACTGAATAAAAATAGTACTTCGGTTTTATCAAACTTGTAACTGCTACGTTTTCTCTTAGCTCCTTTTCATATGGGCAGTTTATGTTTTATTTATTTTTAAATTTTTATTTAATTTTTAATTTTATTTTTGTTACAGATGTTTCTCCTTTTTTACCCCATTGACACCCTCCTCACCATCCCCTCTGCCCACGGTTTGGTTTTTAAAAGATACTTTCCTTCATTTGATTAACTTTTTCTCACTTCCATGCTATTGTCCAAAATTGCCTTTCCAGAGAAAGGAACAAGACAAAGACGTGGACTGTGGGCTGGGGGCAAGTGCTGTGGAGAAAAGGGTTTGCACTTGTGGTGGGAGGCGCGGGGACGGTGGCAGGAAGGCCTCACCACGAGTGACATCTGAGAAGAGACATAAGGATGCAAAGGGGCAAGCAGGGGAGGTAAGGAGACCATCGTGAGGATCTGGGTGTTTTACTCTGAGGGAACTGGGGAACCATGGAGGGACACTGAGAGAGGGTGACATAGTTTGACACTGGATAAAACAGGTCGAAGACCCAATTCTAAGCTGATCAGATCAAGGGCCAGAGACATGAAAGACTTCCTCCAAGTCCTGGTGCAGAGCTAGGGGAAGACACAGCCTTGGCTGGTGGCCCAGTGCTCCCCACTGCTGGGTGCTGTCCCCACAGAGCTGTCTGCTATCCTTCTGTGTTGTGTTTTTCTCCTACTCGAAGCCTTGTGGCCCAGGTACATGCTTCCCCCCATTATGGAAATTTGTCCTGAAAAGAAATCAGAGTTGGCAGCGACATCAGGTGTGCACCTGTGGCAGAAAGACCGTTGTCCCTAAAGCAACAGTGGCTTGTGGTTTCCTCATGAAGTTCAGCAGAAGGAAGCAAAACAGCAAACAACCTCAAATACAGAGCCTGGCCGGTGTGGCTCAGTGGTTGAGCGTCACCCATGCACCAAGAGGTTGCCGGTTCGATTCCCAGTCAGGGCACATGCCCAGGTTGTGGGCCCAATCCCCAGTGGGGGGCATGCAGGAGGTGGCCAATCGATGTTCTCTCTCATCAATGTTTCTCTCTCTCACTCTCTCTTTAAAATCAATAAAGAAAAAATTTTTTCAAATACAGACAAATGTCTGACTAAACTTCAGCTGATGAAACAACTTGTTTGTATGGATTTCAAATTCGGACAAGGAGAAGGCTTCACACTAATGTAAAGGTAGTTGCATATATTGCATGTGCATGTGTGCATGCGTGCACACACACACTGGAAGACATGACGAGCTCACCATGCTGGGTTTCACACTGCTACTGCTCTCAGCATTGACTTGACACTGACCACGCGCCAAGGTTTACTAGGGAGGGTTTCTCTACAGCAAACACGCCCCTGGCCTCACAGTCCTTCCCCACTTCTATCTCCTCTATGACATTAGGGACATAGCAGGAGGCTGTGGAAAGTGGAGGGGACGTGGACGCAGACAGCCCTTCAATCTGAATCCACACTTGACTGCTTACTCACTATTTAACTTTGATCAAGTTCAAATAAAATGGGGTGATAAAACCTACCCTGCTCAGGGTTGCTGCCAGGAAAGAATGATTCAAAACAGGTAAAGCATTTAGCACACTTCCCAGCACCTCAAAACCCACTGCATGGCATTTTTTTTTTTTTTTTAAACCAATCCAGGCCTAAGTTGTTTAGAATCTTGGCTCGAGGACGCAGCGCTGTCTGGATCAGCGGATCTCGCTCCAGCACTTACAGAAAACACAGGATGCTCGCCGCGAGTGCTACTTCCTAGGCTCCAACCCAAAGCTCCGTATTCCATCAAGTCTGGGAGTCTGCAGTTTCACAGACATCCCAGGGGTCTTGTGACAGGTGGCGCCGAGGACCACACATGTCCATCACCATTCATGACCCCAAACTCGACATGACTGGCTTTGATTGGTTTATGTGTGCCTCACACTTCCAGCCTCAGCCTCTTGCTGAACCCTCTCCATGGCCCAGAGCAGGAGATCGTTTACTGTGGGGGGAGGGGGGTAAGCCACCACTGTTTGGATTCTGGTGGAAACTTCTGTCCTGGCAGCCACCTGCGTGGCTGACTCACCTTGCGGTTCCCTCTTGTGCTGTCCTGCCTGCCCCCACCCATAGCACGGCAGATCAGAAGTCTTTGAATAGCTTTCTTTCCTTCCTGAGCCACAGACACTATGCCTCTTGTTCTGTCTTTCTGAATGAACCAGTCATCTGTAGAAGGAAACCTCAGGTTGCAGTCAGTTCACCACGGCCCTTGGTCTTTTGAGTTTTCTACTGAGTCATGATTCTAGTGCAGGGACATCCATCTTGACTGCATGTAAGAATGGCCTAGAGAAACTTGTTAAAATACAGACACCACACACTTCTTCCTCTGGCCAGGGCTGGAAGCTTCCTCCCTCTAGCAGGGGTTACAAAATAATTTTCTTAGGAATTTACCATGCATATTGGCATTGCAGCATCATAAGTTGCCCTTTACTATGTCTTTATCAGGTGTAGAGCACGAGGTGCAGTACTTCACACTTCAGTCTCTCTTTGTATCTTCATTATCACATTTAATCCACATATTACAGACATGCACCACTTGCCCTTGGAACATTCTACAGTATTCCCACTTGCTAATTTTGAACACAAGCATCCTTGACTACCTGAATCTATTTCATTCCTCAGTTTACTGTTCCTGAATTTAAAAAGCGAGTGTGGCTGGTGAGGGTACCTGTGTTTAGGGTTCACAAAATGCAGGTCTCTGGTTCACCCTCTAGCCAAATCATATAAAATATCCCTTCTCAAGAAAACAGTTCACTTTTCCTCTAAGTGGTGCGTACCCACTGTGGAAAGTATAGAAAACATATAAAGGAAAGAAATTACAGCCACCCATTTTCTAAACTATGACCAAAGGACGGTGCTGTTGGCATTTTGGATATTTAACTTTAATTATTTTCCTTAACATTTTATCATAAAAGCTTCTCCAGAGTGAGCTGCTTAGTGCAGAAACTGTACTAGGCTTTTGTCAAGTATGTGCAGAACAAAATTTCCAGGAATACCTCAAATACTCAAGGAGGCTAGGAAGGCCGAGGCGCTCCGAGCTTGTCTGAGTGCAACAAACAATTCTGTTAACTTACTCATGTTACGGATTTGAAGCATGAGTCACCCGTTCACTCAGCCGGGGCTGAGGGTGCCCACTGAACCCGCTGCTGACCTCGGCCTGGCGCGACCCCGGCACCGCGAGTGCAGTGCCAGGTGTGCTGGGTCACTCACTCCGAGTCCCCGCCGAGGGCCCCAAGGGTCAGGGGTGGGGAAGGCACATCCGTGGTGGAATTCATTTCACTGTGTTCCTTTTGATGTGCCTAATGTTGCGGATGCAGCCACTGACTTCTAAGGCTCGTCTCTCCCTTCATACGTAGTTTTTGGGAGGGGTGTAGTTTTGGGTAGCAAGAATAACAGACCTTTGGTAGGTTAGAATTTGGTATGAAAAGAGTTGGAAGGACACTGGCACCTCTACACACAGAGGCAGTGACGAGAAGAACCTGAGTCACTCTCTAGCTTGGCTAACACTTAGCATTCCCAGTTTTCAAACAAGGGAGAGATGATTCAAAACACACTGCCTAAATATGTTAGGCCAGGAGAAGAAACGTCAGAAGGCAAACTTCAGGCCATTGTGCTTTGCAGCAATGGGCTTATTGGAAACGAGGGTGTAAACACACCGATTACACTGCTGGCTGACCATCTTGCCTGGAGACCTTTGCTAAGTATCGCATCTACTCCACCTCAGGGTGGGCGTGCAGCCATGCGGACATGTAGGCAAATGGCCTGGATGGGTGGGCTGTGTTAGCCTGTCCTAGCGCGCAGACTACACAACTTGATACTCACGGAAGTAACACCTCTTGGATGTTATTCAAGATTGCTTTTCCTCCCATGATTATTGTCAGTTGCGTTGTCAGCTCAAAGAGACAGCCACCTGGGTCACACTGGAATATTAAAAATAAAAATCTCATGTAGATTTTAGATGGCTCTCACATGCAAGAGAGTCACTAATTTTCATTTTTCTAGTCTTTAGGCAAAAAAAAACAAAAACAAAAAAACACTAAGAATGCACAATGAAGAAATGGTCTTAAATTGTCGAAAGAATACACTTGTACATTCATACCTCTTCATTTCTGTATTTTCCCAGCCAATAAACTGGATCTCCAGGATAACCTACAAATTTGCCCTTAAAGAATGCGATGTAGAAACACGAAGAGTAGTAGTTGACAAACTGGAATAAGAACATCTTCATGGTTAGGCTGTTCTCATAATCAGTCTGGGTCCTTGGGAGTTCTGCAGTTAAAGCAAAGAAAAGTTAAGTTTTAAAACTTGTGAACAGCTATGAGACCCTAATCAAAGACACTGACACAGGAGTTGAAATGTTTAAAAAATACAATTCACACTGTTTCCATTTAAGCTGTTTTGAACTCCTTAATATAGCTACTGTGTTAATTCAAGTTTACACATTGTTATAAGAGCTTCTCTGCCATGAATACAATATCCTACATGGCAAAAAATATTCAACCGCTCCTAAAACTTACAAGCACAGTGTTATCAAGTGGGCAAGGATATTCTCTTGTCTGTTTTAGGGTCAGCGTTGAAGAAAACAAACACAACAAGGGGAAACTGGCTAGAAGCATTTGGGAAGACAAAACAGATCCTCCTCCCAGCTAAGAATTTAAATTGGGCTGATCACTGTCAGAACATGACCACTGAGCAGACCAGGCGGAGAAGAACCCAGACAGATGCAGCGTGTGGGAAGTACTTAACGCTGGCCACAGCGCAGCTGCCTGGGATACAAGCCAGAGAGAAGCATCATTTATTACAAAAGCCAGAGCTGATGAGAGTGGAGTTACACTAATAGGAACAGAATGGGGGAAGACATGCAGCAGCATGACTGCCTGTCCTCTGAGCAAGAGGAGCGTATCTGCCGTGGCACCATGACCCTGTTCTGCTTATTTGCAATAAAGAGACCATTTACTTTCAACAATAAAGTACATGATGTAATGTAATTGAAAATATTATTCAGCACCGATCTGCTTATACAGAACTCGGGCATTATAATAATTGTCTTTGCTTTGTCCCTTTGACTAATGCAAAGCTGGAGACAGACAATTCATCTCCCAGAAAGGTTGGAGAAAATATGTTTACACTTGAAATTTTCTAAAAATTGTAACCTACTGGCATTGAAATTGCCTAAAAGAGAGTCTCCACCTCGACCAGGTTCTAAAAAGGTCCTAGAAATGATCCACGCTGTGGTAGGAACTTACCAAAATTAGTAATCATGATTGCCACTTTTTCATAGATGATGTTCAGAATCATGATGATGACAAAGCTGATCAGGGAGGCGGTGATGGACGTGGCTGTCTGTGGAGTCAGGTACTTCTGAATTGGGTCTGTTCCATTGAAGTTCTTGGGCAGTTTTGCAGAAAATACAATGAACACTGAGAGTCTGTAGACAATGATCCCAATAACTGAAGCAATGATCAGTAGGATCTGAAAAACACAATGAACACTGAGGCATGAGACTCACCAATAATCCTATTTTTACACTGAAAAATTGACCTCCATGCTTTCAATGGACAAGGTGCATGGGTGAAGCGATGTTAAATCTCACATACCTGCCGCAGGAGAGGTGAAAATCAAGCACGTTACATGTCCCAGAAAGGAAAAGGAATGACTGAAGTCACTAGAGAACACGCCCACGAAAGTGAGATGTTAACAGAAGAAGCTGTGCGCAGGGAGCATGGGAACCCTGTGCCTCCTGTGCAATTTTTCTGTGAATGTTAAACTGCCCTAAAAATGGTTCATTAGAATGAAAGGGGAGAGAGAGGGAGAGTACATCCTCAGGTAGGGTGACATGGAATAACTGGTAGCATGTTCTGGTAGAAGGAAAAAATCTTTGAGATAGCAGATCCAGAGAAAACATCGCTTCTATAATTATGAAATTGTTTAGGTTATGAATCAGTGTTTTTTGCTCCATTAAGGGAGTATATGTCCTTCCCACAGAGAACCTATCCCTGGTTCAGGGGTCAGCAGGTGCTGGCTTTTGTCTAAGTTAGGTACCACGGACCGGTGGTCTGACCAGGCCCAGTGTTCAGAAGCTGTGCAGATCCCCCAAGGTAACCACTGGATATGGCAGCAGGTCTCTGCTTATAAAGCTTCACACACTCTCATTTCTTAATATCGTAAACTGGCAATTGGTCATAACTTGCACATGCACAAGATTCATTTCACTAATACCTTGTATTTTTAAAAAATATTTTTATTGATTTTTTTAGAGAGAGAGGAAGGGGGAGAGAGACAGAAACATCGAATTAGAGAGATACATCGATTGGCTGCCTCCTGCACGTCCCCTGGGGACCAAGTCCATAACCGGGGCATATGCCCTGACTAGGAATCGAATCAGGACCTCTCCGTCCATGGGTTGATGTTCAACCCACTGAACCACACTGGCCAGGCTGATCCACTGTATTTTTTTTTTTTTATTCCTCACTCGAGGATTTTTTTCCATTTATCATCAGATAGAGTGAGAGTGAGAGAGAGAGAGAAAGAGACAGAGAGAAACATTGATGTGATAGAGCCACATCAACTGGTTGTCTCCTGCACAACCTGACCAAGGCCAGGTACGAACCGCAACCAAGGTATGTGCCCTTGGCTGGAGTCAAACCCGCGACTCACTGGTCCATGGGCCGACGCTCTAACCACTGAGCCAAACCAGCCACGGCTGATCCACTGTATTTTTGACTGTGCAGACCCAATGCCAGTAGGGGTCTGAAGTAATGGTTTGCATATGGTTGATAGGATTTCACTTCCTCCCCAGGCAGGTTTTCTCTGTCACTGAAAGTGCATATTCAAGGTCCTGTTTTGAAGGTGTTTTCCCTGCATCTACCTCTTGGACCTACTCCAGAAGCAAGGACTGCTTGTGATGATGGCCATGAGGGAGGAAAGCTACAAAGAATGTGAATTTCAGGACCGAGCAAATCATGTCATGTTGTTTACAGTAACAGAGGGGGGCTGGCCACCTTGCAGAGCATCAAGGGAGTGAGCCAGACTTCTGTGTGGGGACCCAGCTCTGCCACTGGCTGGGGGGCCCTGTACAAGTTACTTCACCTTTGGGGGCTTCCACTTCCTCACCCATATAATGGGGGCATAATAACAACCAACTTCTAGGTCTGTTGTGAGGACTCAGTGAGTTGCTATCTGAAACGCTTAGGACAGTAAGCCCGGGCACATGAAAAGTAGTATATAAATGTCAGCTATGATTATGGCAACTGAAGGGTTAATGAGATGTTTTTCCTACTTTTTAAGCCACCAGTGTGTAGAGAAGGCATTATATTTTCTCCTCTAATCTTTCTCATTATCTCCTTTCCTACACAGTTAAGGCTTAACACTTGTGAAAGGAATAGCATTTAAAAAAAAAAAAAATGTGTGGAGTCTGAGAAAATTAGCCAAGGCTGAGAAATATGTATTATAGAAGGGATATTAATTCTTTCTTCGCACAACACATATAGACCATTTAAATAGTATGTATTTTAAAAAATTATCTCTATAATAATTTTTGAAGTTATTAAGTAATTAATAATAGTTAAGATTCTTTAAATGCTTACCATTCACCTCAGTACACGTATATCTTTAGTCTTCACAACAGCTCTGTGAGGTAGGTAATATTAGATCTCCTTTACAGATGAGGAAATAGAGCCACAGAGATTAAGCAATTTGCTCCAAATTAAGCAACGAGTAAGTGAAATAGCTGAGATACTCAAGGACTCCAAGACATGGTGCTGCCTCCCGTGTGGTTTCTGAAATGAATTCTTTCATCCCAGAGCTTTTACAAACTTAATGTTCCCATACTTCTTCAGGGCACTCGGCAGGCTCAATATTTCTTCATAGGAGGGAGAGAAGCTTTGCATTCTCCTTCCTCAAGTTTCTTACATATTTTCTCTCACTATAACATTAACCTACTTTCCTTATCATAACTTTTTATATATGCTCATCATATAAAACTTGAAAGTACCCTGTAGTGAATAATAGTTGTTTTTGCTGCCCTGGATCTGATTCCAGTCTTAGAAAAGGCCCCAGATTTTGGTTTTGGGGGAATACTCTCCCTATTTTCAGTCCCTTGGTTTGAGCTAAATTGCTGTCCCTCCGCTGGGCTCTAGAGGTAGATCCTTCATTTGAGACAAAGAAGTATCTCATCCTATTGACCTCAGCAGCTGATTAAAGGACTGACAACCTAATAAAAGCCACTGAGAAGTGAGGAGGTATCTAAAGTTTAGAGGAAGCTACTAAAAGAGACCTTTCTTGGCTTTGACATGATGTGAGATCCGGAATGCTGCAGCCACTCTGCCACCATAAGGGAGAGAGGCTAGAGCCCCCAGGCTGGGAGACCACTGGGCACAGAATGAAGACAGAAGAAAACACAGCCCTTGCTCTGGCCCGTCTGGCTCGGTTGGTTGAACACCATCCTATGCATCAAGAGGTTGCCAGTTCAATTCCTGGTCAGGGCACATGCCTGGGTTGTGGGCTTGATCCCCAGTAGGGGGCATGCAGGAGACAGCCGATGGATGTTTCTCCCTTATCAATATTTCTCTCTCTCCCTCCCTCTCTCTGAAATCATAAAAACATAAAGAACAAAACAACAAAAACATAGCCCTTGACATTATCTGGGCTGCAGTTTCTATCCTGGAGTAAAGCCATACCTCAGACCTCGGGTTTTCAGTTACAGGAACCAATAAATCCCACCCCCAACACACATGCTTTTGTTGTTGTTGAAGACTGATTGCTGGTTACCTACAATGGAAAGACTCCTACCTATAAAAAAAAACAACTAAAAAGTAAGAATAGGAAAAACTGTATCTATTATCTGTCTATAGGCACAATTCCTTCAGAACTGTATCGTTTGTACATTAAAAATCACATTAATAATGAATTGGATCTTTTCCTTAAGCCTATTATAACCATAACATTTTTACCTGTCATAAAATATTTTCATGAACATAGTTTTTCACAGCTGTACAACAGTCCACTGTATAAAGAGCTGGAAGTAGAATATTTAGGCTGGGTGAGTGGGTGGGTGAGTGGGTGGGGGTGTGTGTATGTGTGTGTATTTGTCTGTGACTAAATCTTTACTGACTTTTACTTACCATTTTGAAATGCCTCTTGATTTAAAGTTTTAAAATTTGAATTAGATCAAAGCATAGGAATATTTTTGACTCTTGATACATTCTGCCAAACTGCTTTCTAAGGCCAGAGCAGTGTAAAATTCTAACAGTATGAGTACTGATCACTGTATTTTATCCTCTCAAACACTAAGTCTTATCACTTGAGATGTGAAAAACTGTATCTCATTTTTTTTTTTTTTTATCCTCACCCGAGGACATTTTTCCATCTTTTGTTCAGGTAGAGTGGGAGGGAGAGAGAGGAACAGAGAGAGAGAGAGAAACATCGATGTGAAAGGAACACATCGAGTGGCTGCCACCCGCACAACCGACCAGGGCCGGGGACAAACTGCAACTGAGGTACGCGCCCTTAGCGGGAACCGAACCCGGGTCTCTCAGGACCACAGGCCGACGCTCTAACCGCTGAGCCAAACCGGCCAGGGCCTGTATCTCATTTTAATGTGCACTAATATAATTACTACTGAGGACTGACATCTGCCATGATATTTTTCCTTTTGTGATTGTGTATGCACATTCTCTGCCTCCTGAGCTCCTGAGATCTTGGGTATTATCTCAGAAGTGATATGGACTTTTTTAAAATTCTCACCCGAGGATATTTTTCAATTTATTTTAGATAGAGTGGGAGGGAGGGAGAGAGAGAGAAACATCAAGTGAGAGGGACATATTGACTGGTTGCCTCCTGTATGACCTCGATCAGGGCCGGGGATGAACCACAACCAAGGTACATACCCTTAACAGGAACCAAACCCGTGACTCATTGGTCCACGGGCTGACACTCCAACCACTGAGCCAAACTGGCTAGGGTGATCTGGGCTTTTTGTATATTGAAGTTATTAACTCTTTGCCCTATTTGTTAATAACTATTACTCTTGGTGTTCTGTTTAAACTTAGGATGTTTTTGATGTATGAAAATCTTTAAATACTTTCCTCTAAAAGCTTAGCAAATCTTTTTATATCTAGAGATCATATATTCATTAATATTTATTTCTAGTTATTTTTGGTGTTACTTATTTTGAATGTTTCGGAATTTATTATAGTATGTGGTTCATCATACGGTTTCAATTTTCAACTTTCCCCTCAACAGCTAAGAAGTATTCCATTACCATTTACTGACTAATCTTGACTTCTCCCACTGATTTAGAATGTCTGCCTTCTGCATTAGATTATTATTGCTATCAGGGCCTGTACTCGGTCTCGGGTCCTATTCGCTAACCTGGCTATTCTTGAGCCAATAAAACTCTCTTCATATTACTGATTATATTACTAATATGATTGTATTAGTAATAAACCCAAAATTAATTCCATAAGTTCAGATATTTAAGAAATATTGTCTTTTGATCTAGAATCATTTGTTTAAGGCTTCTTTTACATCTTCCAGTAGTTTTTATGCCTCTTCTTTGATAGTTCCTATTATCTTCTTGTTAAGACTCTTCCTTGACATTTTATTTTAGTTGTTTCTGCTGAAAAACTTTAGAATTCTTAATGCCTCCCAGGTGGTTTCTTCACCAGAAACAGGAAAATTCTGGACCACTGATCTGATTTAAACAAATGAGATTACATCGTTTCCAGTTCAGCTTCCAGTTTTCCTTGACATTTAAAATGCCATATTAAATTCTGTGGAAGACTCACCCAGAATAAGACGGCGCTGGCACAGAGGACCGCGCGTATGCACTTCCCCCAGGTCGTGAAGGGAACGCGCTCTTCTTCCTGAGTAAAGAAGAAAAAATGAAGTTTAGACCATCCAGGGATTACTCCGACGGAATGATTTTTCTCCTGATGGGTCACTAAATCCTTGGCTGAATTTAATTTTTCTAAACAGTGGTTCTCAAACATAGCCTCCTCACTCTTAATTGCATGTTCTTTTGTTAACAATTTCAAACATACATGGAACAAAACGTATGCAGTGTTCATTTCCATAGCATTTTTTGAAAATGCAAGTGTGCGTAAGAGTTCACCTGACAACGCCAAGCTGTAAAGCTGCTTGCGGAGGTGTCAGAAGTGAAGCAATGACAGAGGGCACGGAGCCCGTGCACGGGTATTTGCAAGTACTCGGCATTCAGTATGCGCTTCTTGGTTGAGCTTTACATATTAATTTGTCATGATTGAATTTTTAAAGTTTTCCCTGTATATGAATGTATTTAAAAGTTTAAGAGAAAAAAATCAACACTTCTCAGGATTTACCCGGATAGTATGAGCAGCTGTAGTATAATAATAGTTGCAAATACGTTTGTGCTATTTACTCTGTGTCAGGTACTATTCTAAGTACGTTCTATACATTAAGTTGATTAACATGAGGAAGAAACTACATTTGTTCCCATTTTATAACTGAGGAAACAATGGCACAGAGAAGTTAAATAATTTGTCCAGAACCATTAAGTTGCTGTGTTCTGATTTGAACTCAGGCAGCCTTGTTCTCAAGACTTGACCACCACTCTGTGTTTCTCTAAACCAAGGGAGGATGTATTAGCAACAAAAATAAAATAAGAAAGAAAAATAAAATGAAGTTTCATCTTTAATTTTTTAACAAGAAATGTTTCAATGGAAATTAAATCTATTAGTTGGCCATTTTAAATGTAAAACTGGCAGATTTAAATGACCAAATTGTTTTTTCTTTGGTCTTTTCCTTATGTTGCCAATATAAGCTTTTGTTTTTCAATACTCAAAACATGTTATGAACACAGTTCTAAGTTTCAGCTTTCATCTCTGAATGTATGATCTTTCAACAGCACATGCTTTGGCCCTGTCTTCCATAGTCACCAGTGGGAACAATTCATAATGGGGATTATCTGCAGCTTGTTACATTGTAAAAGACAAATGTCACCTTCTCTTGATAACTAGACCTCACTTTTTTCCTGCTTGTAAAACGGGGAGTTGAACTGCGCCCTCTAGTCCCTTTTAGTGCTGACGTTCTGTAAATGTGTGATTCAATTTATAAAATCTAGAGTTGAGGACATTTTCAGATGCTCTTGGTAAAAGCATTTTTTTCCTCAGAGATATTCATATTCAGAAACTACTGTCCTTAAACTGATGACTGCTGAGTACAATCAGCTCGACATACTCTGTGTTGATGGAAAGAAGCAATAATGCAGATGATTCAAAAATCATCTTTCACTGGCTTTGGAATATTTATACAGATATATAGCTGGGTTTTGTTTTTAATTTTTGTAGCAGCAGTAAATTTACTTTCCCAACGATGTAAAATGCCTCCCACAGTGACTGAACATGGTTGGACCTCAACAAATGTTTTCCTTTTTCATCCTTCCCCCACTTCAGGGAAGGAACCACACTATTTTGTGCACATCCCAGCCAGAAGGGGGAGCAGTGGCTGAGGCTTTTGTGCAAGACAAAGGAGCAGCCAAGTCTAGGATGACAGGGGCTGAAATAATGAAGGCGCATGTGAAAACTGAGAATCAACTGTAAAAACCTATGCACCCTTCCTTACACATTCAGGTTTGAGTCTATTTACATGTGCATTTTTTTTACTGGTGTTAGGAAAGAAAGGACACAAACCAATGCATCTTTTCCATATATAGGTCCTCAAATAACATCGCTTCATTCAATGTCATTTCCTTATCACGTTGATGAGTTGTAGGAATTTAACTCGTTTATCTCAATTAGCCTGTGGTAAAGTTGGTTTCATCATATGTCATTTTGCTTAAAGTTGCAGAACTTATCGATGACATCAAGTGAGGACTTACTGCACATTTATGGCAGACTCTAAATTTTTTTTTTCATTTTTACTGTTATAATGAAGGAAGGGACTACATTTATCTCCACTGTTCTAAGCATAGCTTCTTCACCTTGGGTGCAGGGTATAATTACCAGAGGAGCTTTAAAGAATCCCTACGCCCAGAATACACCCAGGCCACCAAGTGCCATCAGAATATGCAGTGATGGGACCCAGGTATCAGTATTTTCTAATGTCCCCAGGTGACCACAATGACAGCCAAGGTTCAGAACCCCTGCACTAGAAGACTCGAATGCATCTAAATGACGTTTCCCTTACCTGAGTAATCTCATTTATCACCACGTGAGTACAACGCGCCTCATATTCTGGCCGGGGTTGTTCTTCCTGCTGTAGCTCAACAGTGTCCCATTCATACTCAAGTTCTGCCTGGCGCCGCTTCCAAAACTCCAAAAACAAGGTAACTAATAGGGAGAGAACAGGATCGTGTGGGTCTCAATGAGGACTGATGTTTCAGAAATCTGTATGAACTAATATCATGATCCATAACACTTGTATATGGTCAAGAGAACCTAATGTATGGGTGATGGTAATACTTAGCAGAGCATAAAACAAGCTAATGCTCTTGTGAAAACAGACTACAGCTACAGGCAAGGTAATCACGGGCTGGGCGGAGGCACGGGGGTGCATCTAACGCGCAGCATGGGCTGCCAGCACTTCGTGGCTTTCTGACCACCACCAAGAACTAGCGTAGTTCGAAGCTGTTCGCGGTCCATTCTTCAGGCTGCTCTTCCCTACCTCCCTGCCCCTCGCTCCCCTCCCAAGGGCCTGGGTTGGGGGATGCTTTAGTAGTTCCCAAATCCCTATTTACCTCTACCCAAGTCACCCCAAATTAACATAATACTCTTAAATAAGGAAAACTGATATTTTTCTCTATCTTGTGTAAAATACAAATACTTTTTGGGCATCTTTATTATTTTTAAGATTTGTAACGAAAACAGTACGAAATAAAGACAGTATTAAATGTTAGTTGAAAATGTAGTTTCAGGGTAAGTCCCCTCAGCCCTTCTCCAGGCGGCTACCCCTCAGCCCTTCCTGTACAGAATTCTGGAGTGGACACTATTCCATCCGTAAATATTTTCTCAGTTTCGACTCTGTGCTGAGAAGAGAACAAAGACACAACCTCCTTCTGCTCCGAGGGGCTCCTCGGGTTATAGCACAGCAGACTATTGGCGGTCCTCAGTAAGGTGAGCACAGGCGCGCTGGGCGCACAGGGCCAGAATACAGAGCCCACGGGCAGCCACGGCTCCCTCTGAGGGGCCGCGTGCGTTCTGAGATGACTTAGAATGGACTAGGTTAAGGCCACCTCCCCCCAGGGAATGCGCATGCAAAGGCAAGGAGACGAAGAGGGCCAGGTACTTTCCAGAAACTGCAGGCAGTCTGGAAGGAGACCCTGTGATAAGCAGGGTGAGGCAGCAGGTGGAGAGATGGCAGGACTGTGTGTGCCCCGTAAACGAAACAGAACCCACCCCACAGGCTAATGCGAACTTGACGCAGTATCTGAAGGCCCGCCAAGCCCTCTGAGGTCATTGTTATTGCCATCTCCCTTTTATTTTTTATTTATTTATTTTTTGTTCAGATAGAGTGGGAGGAAGAGAGGGAGAGAAACATTGACGTGAAAGGGACACATCAAGTGGCTGCCTCCTGTACAACCCCAACTGGGGCCGGGGACAAACTGCAACCGAGGTACGTGCCCTTAGCGGCAACCGAACCCGGGTCTCTGGACCGCAGGCCGACGCTCTAACCGCTGAGCCAAACCAGCCAGGGCTGCTATCTCCCTTTTAGACACCAAGAAACAGAGGCACCGACAGGTTCAACTACTTGCTCGAGATTAGTGTGGGAGTCAGGATAAACCCAGGCATTCCCGGCCCCAGAGCCACGCTCTGCCCTCAGCTCTCCTGCTCCAGAGCCTGCCTTCCCTTGGCTCTATCCCTGGCACCCACACTCGGCTTAGGCGTCACCACCGCTTGCTTTTTGAGTTTCTGCTCCAGGCAATCCTCCAGGCACCCTGCTAGCAACCGTTCTGTTCCCACACACGGCCTTTGTGGGCACACCAACCCTCGACGGCCACTGCTGTGGCCGCCAGCATGTTTACAAGGGAATGCAGGTGGCGGCCCAGCTTTTTGCTGTGGGTGCTATTGTTAATGGAAGCATAGAGCTCAGCTGCAGGGGAGACCACTTCTTGTCTCCTATTGGCTAGGGTGCTGGAAGGAAGCTAGTTTTCCTTACGAAGCTTTGAAACCCAGGGCAGGAGTTATGTAATGCCCCCTAGCCTCTTTAAATAGGAATGCTACCTCCCCTTCCCCTGCCCCAAGTTGTAGAGTACTCTGTAGTCCATTGGCCCCATCAGGGAGCACAGGAAATGGCCTAATGGTCCATCCACCAAGTTCCATCTCCTCGCACAACAGCTACAATGGATGAGTTAACGCTGGACGGTGAAATCCACGAAGCCCTAGGTGCCACTTCCTGACGCTCTCAGGTGACTCAAATGCCCCAAACCCCGTAAGTGCATCATTGGGAGAGAAACTGAGCTGGTTCACCTGTCAGACCCCTGACAGCAGGGCTGAGCGGGCTGCCCTGCTGTCAGGAAGGTCCTCCTTCCCTGTGTGTCTCTCTTGAGTTCCGTGCTGGACTTAGTCCCCAGTTCCCAGACTGAAAGAACCTGTTCCTTGTTTGTGGGTACGACAGCTCCCTGATCAGAACCTTCACTAACACCTCCGGGTGAGAACGGAAGCGTGGTGTCCACATCTCCATAACTCAGCTACCCACCATCTCTCTACCTCCGGTCAAAGCCAAGGGGCCCACACTGCTGAGTGTTCAGTGGGGGGCCTGAAGCCTCCATCACTGAGAAAGTGCCCAGCCATTTGTGTTCTTGTGCCAAAAAGGAGGAAGTGGAATACCGATGGGATGAAAGTCTTAGGGGCACCAGGGGACTGTGCACCAAGCTGTCACTGGATGATCCTGCTTCCCACCTGAGCCATGCTGGCCTCACAGGGCAGATATTCCCAAGAGACCCCTAGTGGGGCAAATGATTCCCCCAAGAGCCAACCCTCCTTGAGCATCATCTGCAGCAGCACAGTCTACGCCACCCACTCACTGGAGTCCGTAGGCTCACATCTCCTTCATAAACACCCATGCACCCCACTCAGTAGCAGACCCTGACTTTATAGTTTACCTGCGAATTCTACTCCCAGAATTGTGTGTACTCTCCACCCCCGAAGTTCTTTCACCTGTGTCTCCCATCGACACTGCTAAATCCGCGCGGAGTGGTGCACATTCGCCCAGACAGGGCACTTCATGCTGACCTCATCTTTCGTGCCTCAAAGCAGGTAGCTCTCAGGACCCTGACCTATATTTGCTTCTACACGGACTGTTTATCACGCCCACTAGAGCACCACCTTCACGAGGGCAGGAATCTTGTCTCGTTCAGGCTGAAGCAAGAGCACAGACACTGAATGAATATTAGCTGAATGAATGACCTGTAAGAAGCCAACCCAAAGACTGGAGGACGCCCACCATCTGGGATCCCTGAAGGATGGCACCTCCCTCTGTGCATGGCCACTCTCCATCATTCTCTGCGACACCAGCCCAGCTGGGCCCCAGAGCTCCCTATTCCCAGCAACAGGGGTGGGTAAGGTGAGATGGAGAAGAAACCATGAGAATGTGGCTCTAGCCCCTCGACTGCTGGGAGGATTTCAGGGCATCAGACTGAAGGACTCCTCATGTGCTCTGTCCTTCCTCACAACGCCCTCGAAGCACTGTGGCCACACAGCAGCGGAAAGTCTGGCCCTCCCGGCCTAAGGAAAGAGACTCCCGGTGGGAAGGTGGCGTCTGCCCCGTCACGGCCTCTTGTGAACCCCGCCTCCTGGAAAAAGCCCTCTGAAAGCCACTCTAGATATCGTCCTAGTGTTACTGTAATTCCCCTAAATTTTGCAATTCTAATCTATTAGATGTTTTTGAAATTCTTCTTTAAAAATGGAGAAAAATCTCCAGTTTCCTTCTCTGCAGAGTAAAGAAAGTTACTTTTTGTTTCATAACAAAGCAGCTTACTTTCATGAATTTATATCTTTAAACATAACTGTTTTTTAAAAAAATTGTGATTAAAGTCCTGCTGGCATGAACACCTAGGGGCAGGTGAACCCATCTTATCTCATGAGGCTGGGAAAGCGAGGCCCGGAGTCCGGTGCTTTCTTCTCCCTTGATACCTGTGTCGGTGAGGAAGAACCGAAGACATGGAACCAGACGTTCTAACCCGTTCCTATTATTCAAAGCCCTAGGCAACAGTGCTATTATATCAATCGAGTAAATATTTATGCATCTTTCTAAAAGCGTCCTACACTTCTATTACTATACGCTGTATTTTGTCACTGATCTAAAGGCCAACGACAGCCAAATTATTTGCAGAGCTTTTATTTTATTCTGTGCTTGTCCCTTGCTGTCTTGGGGGGACTTGAGTAATTTACTTAATCTTTCTGAGTGTCATTTTCCTCACCTTTAAAATGGAAGTATAATAGCCATCCATTTACTCACTATCTAGCAACAGTATCAACAGGAGATGATTTACAAAAAGAAAACTTATTTTCCTCACAAAAAGCAGTATCAGCAATTCTAATCAGCATGATACAGGAAAAAGAGTGGATGCTATTCCTTGTCCTCCCTGAACTTGAACATAGGGGCAAAAAGGCTGCTGTTTACCAAACCCTGAACTTGAGGGGCGACTCTGCCGAGGAAGTGGTAGGACTGCCATGTAAGCAAGAAATGACCTGGTGACAAAAATAATGAGTTGTTAGCAAATCCTGAACCCTGAAGGCAAAAACCCGGAGAGTTGCAGAAATGGGTGGGAGTTTCTTAGTTCTTCATTTCACACAGTTAAGGACTTTCAGGGTCATGGAAGACAATGGTAACCCGGTATAACCACCCAACATTTTGGAGAACTCCTGGGCCACATCCCTGCTGACTCAAAGTGCTGTGTGTCCCCCATTGAGAACACCAGGACCAGGGATGACCATGCATGACGTCACACAGGAATTTCCTGTTCTGTATCCTTTGCTTTCTCCCTGCAATAAAACTGGCATAATTCCCGTGGGAGGCGCTGCACTTACGTTCACCGGCAAACCACATACCATGGAGCTCTGGTTCCTTACAGAGACACAGCTGGGACTTATACATCAATACATAACAAGAGAAGAGGGAAGCTGCTTAGGACCTTTGGGATTCAAGAACAGCTTGCCCTCTTAATCATGATATTATTACATCAGATGAAGATGCCCATATAGAAAAAAACGTGTTCAGGTCACTAACGCGTCGGTGGTGTTACATCCAGCTATATCTAAGGACAAGAGGCACATTCTTGGTGGATGGGAATGTTCTAGCTGCTATTAGAGTTTGCTGCTCAAGGAAATATAATCAATATTACTGTAATAACTATGTATGGTGTCAGATGGGTACTAGACTTATTGTGGTGATCACTGCATAATTTAAATAAATGTCTAATCACTATGTTGTACACCTGAAACTAGTAAGATACTGTATATCAACTGCAATTAATTTTAAAAATTTAAAAGAAAGGTTTTTTTTTTTTTTAATCCTCACCTGAGGACATTTTTCTATTTTTGTTCAGATAGAGTGGGAGGGAGAGAGGGAGGGAGGGAGGGAGAGGGAGAGAGGGAGGGAGGGAGGGAGAGGGAGAGAGAGAGAAACATTGACGTGACAGGGAAACATCCAGTGGCTGCTTCTTGCACAACCCCAACCGGGGCCGGGGAAAAACTGCATCCGAGGTACGTGCCCTTAGTGGGAACCGAACCCGGGTCTCATTGGTCCGCAGGCCGACGTTCTATCCATTGAGCAAACCGGCCAGGGCAAAAAAGAAAGTTTTATAAGAAGTTTGCTGCTGAAGGGCTGGGGGATTTTAACGGGCCTTGAAACTAGTCAGACCTGTTGACTCACAAAGGCAGGTAAGGTAGATGAGCCTTTATCTCAGCTTCTTAACCAAAAGACTGCAAGGTGAAAACTACAGTTCTCACAGACTCTCTTGTAGCTAGAGTTCCACAGGTACCTTTAGAGGGCCCATCCCATGCATCTGTGTGTCACTTAAATCAGAAACAGAGTTGAGCAGAAGCAAAGGCAGTTGTGGGAGCTATTTTGCTGACGAGGACCCAGAAGCAGGAGCACAGCTCTGGAACCCAGTGGCTACAGCCATTTCCTGACCCTCCCACCCCTCCACTGAGAGCAGCTAGGTAGGGTAATGTCTTCTCTCTTCCCTCATGAACCAGGTGTCTAGTGTTTTAGACTAGAACTCAAAGGTGAAAATGAAAAACTGTAGCCATGCAGCCAAGAGCCTGGCGCCAGGGAGAATCAGACAGAAGTAGGTGAGAAGCAGCAAGGAATGGGGAGCAGGGGTATGTTAAGAAATTTTACTTCAACCGTGGGCTGGTGTCCAGGACTCTGTGAGTCAGTATGAATGGGTGAGCTGGCTTGGCCCAGAAGGGTGAAGAGAAGTATATGATTTGTACTATAGTTACTGCAAAAGGTTTTCTACCCTCCACTTGTGTAACTCTCAGGGAACAGGAAAACTCTAAGTGCCACACACATCTGGGCACAAAAGAGATGCACAGGAATATGGTGACGGTGACAGGAAAACTCCGCGCGATCCTCCCGCCGCCTCAGGCTTTCCGCAGGGAGGGTCACAGCAGCAGTTCTCATAAGGCAGAGGCAACAGGAGCAGCAACACACGGCACTTCAAATAAAGACATCATCGTGCATACATTTCCTTAAAGACACACATATGGTGCAACAAGCAGGGCTGAGATGGTTTCTGCATTCCAAAATCGGATGAAATAAAATCAGTAGCGCAATATGCTAAGTCAGTGCTATCAACACGGTGTAGTTAATGCTCATGGAAACCAAGGTTAGCGCGGAAATCTGAGGTTTGTCTTTCCAGTGCCAAAAATAATATATCTTTACTTTATTTAAGATGTCTTTTTAAATTAGGTCTGTCAGCATCCATTAGTACATGGAGTTCAATAGATATGTCAGAGCTTTGTCCATGCTGAATCAGTGCTGACAGGAGTGAGAGGTGCCACCCCATGTGTTTGGCGCCTGTGCTCTCATGGGGGAGGAACAATGTATTACACAGTGGAGGGGTACAGAGGATCTTGATACATAAGAGTGATCTTTATTCTTCTATGTGTCAAATATTAGCCAGTATTTGGTTTTCAGCCGAAACATGCAAAGTGTCTGAATGACAATGTGACTTTTTTTAGCTACGTTTGGCCACCTGACAGTCTAGTTAATCCAGGAGTGGCAGCTCGTATCTCTAAAAGGTGTCTAAAACAACATCTGTTCTGCGACCCATTTGGTGACCCCTCATAGGCACAACCGCTTCAGAAGGGAACCACCACCACGGACACCTGCAGGGAACCGTCTCTGTGATTCGCAGGTGATGTGTTGTCTTAAGAATGAGAGACTTGGTTCTGTTTCTCCCCCACCTGTCTGTAACCTGGACTCTATTTTCCTCTTGACTTACACAATGGAATTGGAAATGTGTTTACCTTGGAAAGCACTTTTTTTTTTCCCCTTCTATGGTAGAACATTTACATCAATTAAACATGTAAAAGTCTGCATTTAAAGAAAATAATTGCCTCGTTAATGATGCTATTCAAAGTAAACGATATGAATATAATGTTAAAGCTTCTATATAGAATTATATTGTTTAGGATTATATTTGATTTATTAAATAGGATATGATAATATTATTATAAGAGTAGCACATACTTATTAAATACTCACAAAGAAGTGTATAAAGAAGAAAGCTTACCTGTAGTCCCTGGGTTGGCGCTTCCCCTGAACCCCAACCCCATGAAAGCTAGGGTGGCTGACAACTGGGGGTTGTTACAATAATGGCTCCCAATGAATCATGACTCCTCCTTCCAAGCCCTTGGGTAGGCCTCCCACCTCCTCACATTGTTGTCGGCTTGGCCATGACTTGCTTTGGCTGATGGGACGTTTGCAAACTTGAAGCAACCATAGGCTTCTAAACATGTATGCATTAGGCTTGTCCTCTCTTGCCTCTTTCTGGAACCCGAAAACTACCATGTGAAGAATCCTGGACTTGCCCAGTGGAGGATGAGAGCAGCATGGAGCAAGATGAGCTGGCCCCGCGGAGCCCCACATACCAGTCAGCCTGGCAACTGCCAGACCTGCTAGCCCGGTGGGGCTGCCCGCTCAACAGAGGTCAGCTGAGCCAGCCCAGAGCTGAAGAACCTCCCAGCTGACAGAGGGACTCACAGGAATAATGAATGTGTGTATTAAGCTACTACATTTTGAGTCAGTCTCTTATGCAGTAATGGATACACTGGCCTTTAAGAGTTCTAAATGGAGTTCTAGGGGAAGCCGGGACTTGGGCAATCCAAGGCCCTAAAAGTGGGTTATTTATCAAAGTGGGGACAAAACTATATAATGCTATTAAATTGGGCATTTGTATGATCTTAGGATGTTTTTAGGTTAAGCGGCAAAAGTAAACTGAAAAAAAAGAAAAAGAAAGAAAACTTACCCCATACCCCCATAAATACTGCGAAGACTAGCGTTCCAAAACTGTCGAAGATGCACAATTTCTGGAAAATACAATAACATATAAATTAATCCTGTTCTCCACTTACTAGAATTAATCAACTACTCCATGCATTGTGTACTGTACAGTCTGAATTTCCTTTTAAAGCTGATACCTATTTTAACAATCACTGCAGCCCTGGCCGGTTTGGCTCAGCGGTTGGAGCGTCGGCCTGCGGTCCTGAGAGACCCGGGTTCGGTTCCCGCTAAGGGCGCGTACCTCGGTTGCAGTTTGTCCCCGGCCCTGGTCGGTTGTGCGGGTGGCAGCCACTCGATGTGTTCCTTTCACATCGATGTTTCTCTCTCTCTCTCTGTTCCTCTCTCTCCCTCCCACTCTACCTGAACAAAAAATGGAAAGGTGTCCTCGGGTGAGGATTAAAACAAACAAACAAACAAACAAAAAACAACATTCACTGTAGGCACTAAGTACTTCTAGATGGAGTCCTTTCTTTCGAGGCAAACGGCCTTTGCTGTACTTACAAGTCCATTTTGCAACAAAATCTTTCCCCATCACGATTAAGAAATAGGACAGCTGCTGAGATTGTACTCTGCTTAAAGCCTGGGTCAGGCCTTCGAATCATGGCCTCACCCAGGAGCTGTCATAAAAAGATCTGAGGAAGTAGTACTGTCCTAAGAATAGCTGAACTCCAAGAAACTTTTAGATTACGATTTGCATCTTATCATCATCCCGCCCTGGTCAGGGGATAAGTGCCAAATTCCTGCCTTTCTTGATAAGAGAGGTACAGCCGGGCTGTCCTGAGCTGGTTCTCCCCAAGGAGAGCTCTGTCTTCGCAAACCCAGTGATGGCTGTTCTACCAGCACTGACAGAGGCTTCTCGGTGCACAGGAGTTTTCGCTGCCATTACAGAGGGCACAAAGGCCATGGATGAATAAATGACATGCCTATACAAAGAAGGCTCGATTCTGCTAAGTTCCCTCTTTTTGCTTATATATAAATAACCTCTCTCTCTCTATGAATTCCTGGAAAATTGTTCAGTTAGTTACTGATTTTTCATGAGGGAGCTTTTTCTTATATCGCCTAAAAATATCTGTAAGGTTAATGGAGGTATGGTAAACATATATAATATCAACTTCATGACCGATCATATGAAAAGTGAAGACAACAGAGTAGCAAATGAAGCTATAGGTAAAAAACAAAACAAACAAACAAACAATAACAAAAAAAGCAAGCTTTCAAACGCAAGAAAATTCCAAGCTGCTTCTAAGGAAAACTCGATTTGGTTTTGGGAAACTTTTTGGGTTGCCTTTTATACTGATATAAAGGGGTTGAACTTTCATCAACGCAAAAATATCAGTTATGTTATTTTCATAGATTATCCACCTAACCCCCTACTCATACATCTATTTTTCAAAGCAGATGCTCCTCAATCATCTGTATAGATTTTGACCAGAAAGCACAACCCATGTTTCTGCCATCCAATTATTCCTCTCAAGAAATCCCGGCTCGAGGAAGACAATGAATACACGAGTGTGCGCCCTGGGGGACGAAGCTCTCCACCTGCTCCTGTCGTCCTGGGATTCCACGTGCCACACATGTCAAATCTTTTAGCGTCCACTCTAATGCAACCATCTTCTCCAAGTTGTCTTTGAATGTTATGCCTTATCTCTTATTGAAAATATTATAAGGAAAGTTTTATGAAAAATAGTTTTGTTGTGTTATCATTGCTATTATTGATAATTCTGTCTGATGCTGTTTATCTTTCAGGAGTCTGCGCAAGTCTCTTTCTATCTGATACCTCTCCGCTTACCACCTACTCTAGAAAGAAAAAATCCTGTGACTTCTTGCCCTACTGGGTGAAAATAGCCAAAAGAAGAAGCACACCTGTCAGTGAGAGAGAGGAAAAATAGCAGCAAGAAAAAGCAGGTTTATTGCTGATGCCAAGATCACACCAGCTGCCTGGTTCAAGACAAGGGATGTGCCTTGCACGCCTATGAGAGGCAAGTAGGTGGTTTACATAAAGTTACCATTTTTGCCACATGGGTGAAAATCAAGGACCCAAGAGACAGAATGACACGGATGGCCTCTGTGCTCTGTGGCACCCACAGTGACATGGAAGAGGAAGGAGGAGAGAAGGTAAGCAGGGGGCTTTCTTGGTAAGAAGCCTGGCTCAGCTTGCTTGGCAGCCCGGCACAGAGAGGGAAAGCTAGCTGTGTGAGCGCAGCCCCGTCAGAGTTATGCTTCAGTCACGCGGAGCAGGAAAGACGACAGCTGTGTATGCAGGCATTCCAATTTTAAGAGAGGAACCAATCGCAATCTAGAAAGGTGACCATAGGTCATGCTTTATTCCTACAAAAGAACAAAACCAAAATTTTATAGCTTAATGTATTTCTAAGAACAAAATATTGTAATTTATCATGTTTTCCTTTGATCTTGCCAGCCAAAAAGCTAAGAACTTTATTCAATGCTCAATCACAAAAACAATATTAATCCTGATTATTTCCATAACTGTTTCTTCATTTCCTTGACCCTGATCTTATATTTGTAATCTGTTAACCCTTTTAGCATACATGTCAGTTAGTGAATACTCCATCTCGTTCCAAAAGAAAGGTAGAAATAAATATATAAATAAATGTATAAATAAAGAAATAATTGAACAGATGCCCTGGCCGGGTAGTAGCTCAGTTGGTGGAAGAGTCATCTTGATACTCCAGGGTTGTGGGTTTGATCTCTGATCAGGGCACATACAAGAAGCAACTGATGTATCCATCAGTAGGTGGAACAACAAATTGATGTTTCTCTCTTTCTCTCTCCCCCTCCTCCCCTTCCTCTCTTTCTAAAACACTCAATAAATTTTTTTTTTTTTTTTAATTCTAAAAAAGAGCCTGGCTCGTTTGGTTCAGCAGTTAGAGCGTCAGTCTGTGGACCAGAGAGACCTGGGTTCGGTTCCCGCTACGGGCATGTACCTTGGTTGTGGTTCGTCCCTGGCCCCGGTTGGGGTTGTGTGGGTGGCAAATACTTGATGTGTCTCTCTAGCATCGATGTTTCTCCCTCCCACTCTATCTGAAGATAAATGCAAAAATGTCCTCGGGTGAGGATAAAAAAAAAAAAATTATAAAAAAAGAAATAATTGAATTAACCAACAAAAAGAAAAGCATAAAAAGACTCTCTTTTCTAAACTTATTTTTGATTCCATTCTTTTACTGATTTTTAAATATATTTCCTTCCCTCTGTAAATCACTCTGACAAGGCTCAAGGGATCCTTCAGGAAACTGGAACAGAATGACTCATTTTTTCCAAAACAGTGAAAAAAATGTGTACACGGACATATTTGAAAGTCATGTGTTTAAGGATGGGTAAGTGGGGTAGAAGACATGAGAAAAGAGGTGGGGGTGGGGTGTGTGAAAGAGAATTTTTTAAGGAAAATGGAATGTGCAGTTGCACTTTGTGGAGCACAATTTGCCTCTGGTATTACTGACGACGTCTGCCCTCAATCCTGAGCCTAGGGTTACACACGAACTCCTGACCTTTATGAGTTGTCATGGCAGGCAGCTTCTCTCTCACTAGCTTCAAATCTTCATGTTATCTATGACAGATATTTGCAGCCTAGAATTTGTGATGGTTTTTTTTTTGGGGGGGGGCGCAATTAAGTGTAAAAATCCACGTGTTGACAACACCCTACAATCATCTCAATTACATGATGAAACAACTTTTCAGACACAGAGCTCAGACTGAGAGTGAAGTGCCGGGTACTACAGTCAGCTGGTGAGGAACAGGTGATGGCAAGAAGTGCCGATTCGTGTCAGTTTCTGGCTTTGTAGTTCACAGGTGGGTGACTTTGAGCAAACTATTTCCTCTCTCAGATCCTTGGTGTTTTCCTCTGTGAAATGGAGATAATACCTGTTCTGCCTCTCTTACAGAGTTCTGTGTGTCAAAAGTGGTAGGTCCAAGACTTGGCAAAGTATAAAACATAAAGTGACATCACTACAATGGTGTTGCTTTCAGTTGAAATAAGACTCAACGTGGAGGAGGTCAGAATATTCTGAGGTCATATAAGGACTCCCAAACTTTCATGGTGGAATAAGGGCGGAGAGGAAAGATCACACACAGCCAGAGAGGTAATGTGTCAAAGTTGTCAGGAGGACTCTACAGCAAGCTGACTGCCTTTCTTCCTCTCTGGAGTTTCTGCATGCCTTCCGGGAAGCTCCCTCTGGTCTCAATGCCTGTCCGAAACCTCCTGGATTTTGAGAAGTCATATAGCTCAAGACCATCTGCAGTTAGCAGGGGAACCAGATGTGTTTTGTGGGAATGTTTTGAGACAAAGAATATCTGTTGTCAAAACCTTTTTCATGCATATTTACAGATAGAGTCTAAATCTGACCAGCAAAGTCTTTAAAAATCCAAACACAGTTTTAGCACACTTTAAATGTGGAAAAACACAAGTACAAATTTCAGGTTTCCACTGACTTAAAGAGAACATGCATAACAGTAAACCTATTAAATAATATTCATGAAATAAGCCGAGTCTGAGACTGCTGCTTTGATTATTTGAAATACTCAAATAGTTTCAATTCCACAGTTCCTCCCTGACCCTCCTGGAGATTTTAGATAAGGCTTTTAATCTCAACTTATGATTTGTAAAAGAGGAATAAACACATGCATTCCATGTCTACCTTTCAGAAGGAAGAGTTAGTTCAAAGTTACCTCTCTGAATTCCCCCAAGAAAAAAAATATAATTTCTGCATTGTACATAAATTATTAAAAGAAAAAAATCTTTCATTAGTTGGAAATGTTTGGCATAAGAAAGCTTACCTGTGAGGACTCACAAGTAATATTGAGTTTCCAGAAAGGACAAAGGTTATCACACTGAGGACACATTACTATGTTGCCGCCAATATTAGGATCACAAACTTCTTTGCTAAAGAAAAAAAAAATTTAATTTAATTTTAAAAATTAATGAATAGGACTTCCCTTTTAGCAGAATGATAAAAATCTAACATCCATTTATCATAAGAAAATTAAACTAAATTCTTATAAAAGTAAGAGTGGAAATGAACTTCATTCACCTGATGATAAAGGCTTGCTACATAAAGCCTATAAAAAACATTATACTCAATGGTCAAATGCTGAAAGTATCTCCTTTAGATCTGAAACAAGATGATGATGGGTCCTTCTATCACTACTTCTCAGAGGTATCACCGACGGCACGGTAAATCAAGAAAAACAACCCTCGGAAAATTGGTAAGGAAAGAAAAAAACCTGCCATTGCTAACAGATTACATAATTGTTTATAAAGACAACTGAATAGAACCTACCGATAAATTATGGGAATAAATGAGTTTAGTAAGTTTGTGGGACACAAAATTAATACACCAAATATACCCAGGGTCACAAAAGGAATTGTGTCCATACAGACCTACAACAATTAGGAATTAATTTTTTAAAATGCCGTTTTTTCAATAGTTTAAAAATACAAAGAGCCAAAGAACAAATCTAACTCAAGAGGTATAAAATTTATGTGGAGAAAATCATAAAACTGTGCTGAAAGAGTGAGCTGTAAATTCAATAAGAAGGACAAAGGGCTCAGAAGATTCAAAACACCCCTAAAAAAAACAAAGTGCTATTTGCATGGGTTAAGAAAAACTGACCAAGCCCTGGCCGGTTTAGCTTAGCGGTTAGATTGCTGGCCTGCAGACTGAAGGTCGCAGGTTCGATTCCGGGTCAAGGGCACGTACCTTAGATGCAGGTTTGATCCCAGGCCCCAGTTGGCAACCAATCGATGTTTCTCTCTCTGCCCCCCTTCCTTCCACTCTATCTAAAAATCAATGGAAAAATATCCTCGGGAGAGGACTAACCAAACATCACTGCCGCGATGAAATCTCCATATGGGAAAATGTGAAACTGAACCCCCAAATCCTATCACACACGAATCAGTTCCAGGCGGAAATGAGAATGCAACAGTACCAACTTATTATTAAAAACAAAAAGAAAGAATATTTAGATAACGTTGGAGGTAAGGATAGATTCCATAAACAAGAAACAAAAGGCATTCATAAAGAAAAATACTGATACATTCAAAATCTTCCAAAAGTGCTAACTTCACCAAAATATACCATATGGGGCGGGGGGGGGGGGGGGGGGAGGATTAGCTACAACCTGGTAGAAGTTTTGTAAAACATAAAACTGACCAAGGATGATTCCTACAAATTAATAAGAAAAAACAGACACACTGACAACAGGGTACACTGCTCCCTCCAGGAGAGGCTACAGAGGGGCTTTGTGAACAGCTCTGGAGTTGTGTGATTAGCTGGTCTGACAAATAAGTAGGTTACAAATAAATCTGTTCCTCTACAAAAGTAATGAGAACAATGGCAACATTTGTCTAAATTAACCTCTGCAGAGCTCTGGAAGCTAAACAAAAACTTACAGCAACCTAAGGGGTATTTATTTGAGGGAAAACAGCTAAATTTCCGTAAGTCTACAACCACCATTCCAGAACTTGATGAAAATGTAATTTGGCACTTGGAAAGTATAATTTTTGAGATGTCTTTTTTTTTTTTTTTTAAGCTGGAAAAATATACAAAACAATGGAGAAGGCAAAGACAAATTTAGGTAAAAAGTATCCACATTCAGCGGTTGCCCCTAAACTCTTCCAGCGAAGTGAAGCCAGTACTTCCAAGAACATCTGCAACGCTCTAGCTAAGAAGCCAAATGGGTACAGGGGCTTAGGTCCCTCTGTTAAACAGAATGGATAACTGCGTCTGTACATCAGGGCTGCCATGTCAGTTGGTTGCCTTGGAGCCAGCCTGATAGGCTCTGGGCTAGAAAAATGTGGTCTGCTCATAGCTGGTGTCCAGAGATTTTGATCAGCTGTCCCATCTGGACAGAGGCCGGGTGATCAAAAGAAAATACTTGTTTAGTGTTGCATCTCTGCTGAAGGTTGAGACCACGGGAAGCGGAGGCATAGTAACATAGTTCAGACGAGCAACGGTGTGACTCGGGGCTCTGGCACCCACCACCTCTCTTCACACAGTGCGCTGCTCTCTGAATTCCCACATCAAGCACATACTCACTCTTTATCGCTTGTTTTCCCACCTAACTTTGTAAGGGCTGATTTTTAGAAAGTAAAACAAAAGTATTGTTTTACTTAAATTTTATAACATGTATGTCTTAACATATATATTAAGAAATCATTTCTAAAAGCATGAAAACACCAATTTTATCAGTTTTGTCATAGAAACTTTGAAGAAATCTGAGTTGCTCTTGGCCCACATCTGTAGGGCTAAGGAAAGCATTCCTCTGGAGGCCAGAAGTTCAAGGATGATCCTCCCTACAGATCTCCTTCCTTTTTCAAAGTATTGTCTTAAAATGTTGATGTGTTTCCTAAGGACAATATTCCTGTCAGAGACTGGGCTGCACGATCTAAGAAAAACATTTTCCACTGCACTTAATTATTAGACTTGGAACAAAAGGGAGGCACCATCTGAAGCAGTGACTGTTTTGCGATGAGTCTTCTTTACTGAAAAACTGTTTACTGGAAATAGTTTTCCGTGTCATCCACTCTCAGCGCGGTAGCAAGGAATCAGCGGTTACCTCCAGGTGCAGTTGTTTCGATTCACGAATCCGTAGAGAAAGCAAGCCACGCCCACGACCGCTGCCAGGAGGAGCATCTGCGTGTAGTAGCCCAGCCACGCAAAGTAGATTCCTATCTTCTCTCCGTAGTATTTCCTGAAGACAGAAACATAGTTTTAGAGGACGCAATCGCTCTGCAGCTTCATCTGAACATCAATTTCCGATTTTAAAAAGAGAAGCCTTTGAGCTTAAACACTGGATTCAATTCACACTTAAAACATCCTCGTGCTCATTGCAGACCCCCCATTTCACTGCAAACTGCGAAGTATTTTACCCATCATAGAGTGCTGGTCACTGGCTAACCTGTAAAGCCAAGTACATCAGAGTACAGTAGAGGAAGGAACTATGCTGAACAGGTGCAGAATCACCGTCGTTCTTCCTCATGAGCAGCACACCTGACAAGTTTCTGGCAGGTGCTTCTTAATATGCACGAAGCAAATGGACATGAACAACCCATTCAGCTACCTGCTCTCACTTATCTAGGGAACGTCCCTGGAGCAAATGTAATGTAAACCACAAATAATAACAATGAAAGGACTGATATTAATAATAGTTAGTAGTGGGATGTGCCTCTGATCAAAATATTCATGAAACTCATTGTGGGGGGGCAGGATGGACACCACTGAGGAATCCCCCACCCTGTGCACCTTCCACCTAGCACTTCTACTTTTTCCTAAGTTTTAAAAACCGATCGATAGGAAAAATGGAAGAGGCCAGGTAGGCAAGACTTGAAGAAGGGAGACTGGGCAATGGGAGATTGTTCCTGAAAGGGAGACAAATACAGTTAGGTGGGGGCAGAAGTTTAGGGATAAGAGAAAATGCAGGTGATCGTTGCTGCTGTTGATACCTTTCTAGAGTGATTCATTTCAGTTTCCGTATTGGTTGGTTGATGCTGCAAATGAACTTAACTCTGAGTTAAGCCGGGTATTTCTGGCTCAGCAGGGAGCTGGGATGAGCTCCTTGAGTTTACCTAGTGGGGACTTAGCTCTGAGAACCAGGAGATCTAGATTTCAGATAGGAATATCCACGGGCTGGATATTCTATCCAGAGCAGCTGTGAGACCAGCTGGCTGGTTATAGGCCTGGTGTAGATCACCTCCCTGGGAAAAAGGAAGGGGTGAGACCAACACGCAATCAGGAGAGCGAAACGTGTTGGTTTTCATGTGACTGGGGTTTGTTGTCCAGCACAGGCATGGCAGGCAGGGCGCAGGCCCAGGACAGAGCCCGGGAGAAAGCCTCGTGAGAGGTTTGAGCTGTCCTGGACTCTTGGCTGTCAGGTTTTCTGCAATATGTTCTTATCAATCACACACCCTAGAAATGCCACATTTAACACCGAAAAGAATGTTAAAAGTTGCCTGGTCCAACCTCCCTGGGGTAAAGCCATCCCGCTGCATTTAGAGCTGGTCAGGCAGTCTCTGCTTGGACACTTAGTATGGCAGTTTATTACTTCTGAAGGGATCATCCACGTTCCACTGTAAGCAAGGAGGTCAGGTTTTCTGAATCTTAACTAGAGCCTGCCTCATAGTTCTTGCTGCAAGGCTAGGAATAATGAGGGTGCCTTCAAATGTAATATTCTGATCATTACCTCTCTCTGCCAAAACCATCTCAATTCTTAACACCAATTTTTAAAACTCAGCTCTGATTTTTATCAAAGTTGCAACTAGACATTCATTAAAGAGTTAGTTAAAGAGTTCTAGAAGACTGATTATAAAAAAGAGCAGTCCCCAGCAACTTCCCCCATTTCCTGTTTCCCAGAAGCAACCACTTTCAATTCTTACAGCTGATTCTTGGAATATTTACCTCTGTATCTCTAAATAATATACTTGCAGTGTTGCCTTTTGATTTTTCGGTTTCATGGATCACCTATTGACTTTCTACTTTGGAAGATGAGGATTAAGCTCTCTTTCAGCCCCTTGTCTCCCCTCCACATCCACACCTCCATTCCCTCCATCCTCTTGACAGTCACATTATAATTTTGGTTAGATCGATCTTCTTGCTTTAGATTATTATGACTTTGTAAAGACGATTCATGGCTGAAACAGGTCATCTGATATGCTTACTTTTTCTTTCCTGCTCAATATTTTGTTTCCTTGGAGTTAGGAACTGTCAAGGTGGTTTGCTGCCTAGTTATCTGTGTGTTTATCAACCTTCCTCAGACATTTGAACTGATTTCTTCCTTTTCTTCTACCCTGCAGTGTTTTTGTGAAGTCAGTGCTATTCAGAGTCTCACTCCTTCCCCATGAAGCCTGTTTTTCTTTGTCTCCAGGGTTCTGAGATGTCATGTTATAGGGGCTTCCCTGGGCTGGGTACTCAGTAGGCTCCTTCCACCTGGAGACTCACGGCGTTCAGTTCTTCAATCCACTCCTGATGCAGTTCTCCGATTTCCTTCCCACCTTTTCTCTGTTCTTGTTTCTAGCCCTCCTATTGTTTGTTCATTGTGCATCCTGGACTGATCTTCCAACTTCCCCCTTCCCCCTTTATTTCGCAGCCATTTATACTTTTGCTCTATGTTCTGCACTATTTCTTCAACTTTATATTCTAAGACTGCTATTGGGGTTTTTCTGTTCTTTCACTTTTTTTTTTATGTTTTATTAATTTTTTAGAGTGAGAGGAAGGGAGAGAGAGAGAGAAACATCAGTCAGCTGCCTCCTGCACACCCCCTACTGGGGATGGAGCCCACAACCCAGGCCTGTGCCCTGACCGGGAATTGAACCAGGACCTCTCAGTCCATGGACGATGCTCAATCCACTGAGCCACACTGGCTGGGCTTCTTTCACATTTTTATTTCTGACAGCTACATTTCATTCTCAAAATGACCCTTTTTTTTTGTAGAAATCTATCCTTGTCTTGTGGATATCATATCTTCTCTGATCACTCTTAGGGAGTTTGGGGAAAGATTCCTCCAGTTTGCTTTTTCTGTTTTGTTTGGTTTGCTTGCTGGGAAAGAATTCATTTTCCCTCTGATTATCCCTGGGAACCACAGGTGAAGATTTACCGGACTGCAGTGTCAAGGGATTACTGGTGGGGAGCAAAGAAGGGACATGCGATGTGGACCACAGACAGGCAATAGTTACATTTTCCTCAGCCAAATATTTCTAAAAGAGTGAAAAAATTGTTTTCTTTACCCCAAAAAACCCCCTGAACCACAAACAATAATTAAGAACCCCTTAAATTCATCACCCTGCTATGAGAGGCTATGGATTTAACATAAAAGGAAAATAATAAAAGGGAAACCTCATACTTATTTACGAATATCCTCTTTTAAAATTCTATCCTACAGGATAACCAGAGTTAAGGAGAGCAACTGCCTCTTCATGGTTGTAATCCAGCTAATAAATGAAGGAGGAAATTAGAGTATGACCAAATGAAATGAAATGAAATCCCTTATGAAACAATAAATCTAGGCAATAATCACTCATGGCTGCTATCATCACAAAAAGAGACAACTGGACACTATGCACCTTCTGAGAAAAGTATGAAATTCCACATATCAAGCATTCTTGCACAAAGTTGACCGTCAATTAGATCAAGCTTGAAGATAAGGATCAAATTATTAGCTAAAGCAAACACACAGGACAGAGGAGCAAGTCTAACACTATCACAGGGGAGAGGAAATCAGCAAAACAGATGGAAAAACCCCTCAACAACTGCAAGGAAAACAAGAAAGAAACGGGAAGTTACAGATTGGAAGACATTAAAGAGATTTATTAGTTGCAACATCTGGACCTTGTTTGGATCTGATTTGAACCAGAAAACTATTAAAAAATATTTTTTTGTGTGTGACAATCAGGGAAATGTAAACATTAATTAAAAAGTATTTTGGGCCCGGCTGGTGTGGCTCAGTGGTTGAGCGTTGACCCATGCACCAAGAGGTCCTCAGCAGTTCAACTCCTGGTCAGGACACATGCCCAGGTTGTGGGCCCAATCCCCAGTGGGGGGCATGCAGGAGGTGGCCAATCGATGTTCTCTCTCATCGTTGTTTCTATTTCTCTCTCCTTCTCCCTTCTCTCTCTTTAAAATAAATAAAGAAAAAAAAAGTATTTTGGTAGTATTCAAAAGGGATCTTCTCATTTTACTTATAAAATGATATGATATTTGGAATTTTCTTCAAAATAATCCAGTGGAGGGGGGCGGGAGGGTGGTAGAGATAAAGATGAACAAGATTGGCTCTGAGTGTATAGATTTTTGGAGCTGGGTGATGGGATAAATGCAGGTTTGCTGTATTCTTCTCTCTACTTTTTTTATGTTTGAAATGTCTCATAATAAAATAAATGTAAAATGAAACAGAACTATACAGTGTTTTAACACTCTTACTTTTGAGGCTAGGAAATGTTCCCCAATAGGTGGACACGTGCATGGAGCTTTGAGATATTGTAGAAAGAACAGGTGCTTGGCTCCAGACCGACTTGGGGACACCGTGACTCTCCTCTCTTGCTCACTTTTTGACATCCAATCTATAATCGAGCCCTGTCAACGCTGCTCCTAAAATATGTCAAATTTGTTCCCATGATCTCTCATCTGGTCCACTCCATTAGCCTCCTATCTAGTCTCCCTGCTTCCTGTAATTTCCTATCTTTGCAACATGTGAACAAGATGAAACGACTTGAATGCTTCAACTACCACAACAGCACTTAGTCTAAACCGCGTTCAGTGTCCCTGCTACCCTGCTACCCAGTGCACCTGTGTCTTTGATATTTCCTCAGACTTCAAAAATGTGTTTGTGCCTCAGGGCCACAGTACAAGCTGCCCCTATTCCTGGAATGACTTCTAAATCTTCCAAGTCCCAGTTCCTTTTCACTATATGAGTCTCAGCTCAAATGCTACTGACTTAAAGATAACTTTCTTGCTTCATTTATCCCTACACCACCCCCCATCTCATTACTGTTATTTTCTTCATTTCAATCAAAATTTTTTTTTATTTTTTAAAAATATAATTTTATTGATTTGAGAGACAGAGAAGGGTGGGAGACAGACAGAGAGAAACATCCATCAGTTGCCGCCTCCTGCATGTACCTAAACCAGGAATGGAGCCCACAACCTGGGCATGTGCCCTGACGGGGAATCAACTAGTGACCTTCTGGTGTACTGGAGACACTCAATCAACTGAGCCACACACAGGGGCTGTTTGCTTATTTTTGTTTGTTTGTTTTTGGTCTCTTTTCATAAGCCTTTCCCAAGTGTATAAGCTTCTGGAGATCAGATAACCTGGTGCTTTGATAAGACACATGTTGAGCCAGACCTAACATTCATGTGCTACAGTAAAACAGTATCTTAAAATAGACACAGAAAAGCAGTGAACATTTATCTCTTATCAAACAGTTTAAGCAAAAGCTAACATTTACTCCTATGCAATGAAGCTTTTGGTGGGTACTTATTCCTAGTTCCTGGGAGTAATCTCTAAACTCTTGGAATTTCCTGAGATAGGAGTGTCTTTGTTATTCATGGTGACCCCCTGAAGAGTCTGTGCTGATGACAGGAGTCAGGGAGGGGAGTGGCCATGCCAGAAAGACCAACCTTGTGATGAGAGGGCTGGAGCTTTGAGCCAAGTGATACTGGTCCAGCCTCTGGGGAGACAAAGGGGCTGGAGGCTGAGTCACCTGGGGAATGACTCAGTCAGGCATGCCTACATAATGAAGCCTTAATAAAGTCTCTGGGCAACAAGGCTCCAGCAGTCCAGGTGAGCGTGCCTGGTTCGCAGCTCCCTGAGTATTGTCACACTTGAATGCCATGAGGGCACCCCTGAGTCCACAACATTTTGCCTAAGTGATTTTCAACCCTTTTCACCTTGTGGCACACACAAACTAGTTACTAAAATTTTGCAGTACACCAAAAAATATATTTTTTGCTAATCTAACCAAAAAAAAAAAAAAAAGGTGTAATTGTGATTGATTTATAAAAAGAAAACAATAATAGTAATCACCTACCCCTTTTTGCTCCAAAGTAACTTTTAAAAAAATCAGGGGCCTATACTTGTATATAAGGATTCTGGTACCAAGAATTAACTAATCAGATGCAACCTTACTCCGTGAAGTGACCAATAAAATGCAACTCTATTATATACCTATAGATGTATGGTTCAAAACAGGGCATTCACACCAGATGGCTATTGTTGTGTTGGCATTGTCATTTTTGATATGACAATCTAAGGGAAAAGAGATCCGTGCCCCTGACAAATTAGTCAGGTACTGCATGTTTTAAACATTCGCACGGCACACCGGTTGAAAATTGCAGCCTTACCTGATAAGATCCAAGGGCTGCTTTTTGTATATGCTTCGAGGATGAGCCCACTCCATGTACAGAAGGTACCGTTCATTCGGGCAGCTGAAATCTTCTGACGGACAGCTGAAGTTGCACTGGGAAACCAAATGAAACAAGTGAGCATCGTAGTCACCACGTGTTCTAATACTTCACAGGCGTTTGTAAATTAGGGACCCTTATTTGTTAAAGGGAATGGAAATACCACATACTTTGGGGGGGGGGTATTTTATTTATTTATTTTTTATTAATTTGTTTTTGTTACAGATGTTTCTCTTTTTTCCCCCATTGACACCCTCCTCCCCATCTCCTCTGCCCCATCCCCAGCTTTGTTGTCTATGTCCATTGGTCATGCATACATGCATATAAGTTCTGTGGTTTATCTCTTTCCCCCCAACCCTGCCTCCTCTGAGGCTTGTCAGTCTGTACCCCACCTCTATGTCTCTGGGTCAATTTTGTTCATCAGTTCATCAGTTCATTTGTTTAGTTCATTATATTCCACAAATAACTGAGATCATACCACGTACTTTTTAGTGATTTTCAACCAGGGTTATTACTAACCCCTTAAAGGCCATTTGCAAATGTGGGTGGGGAGGAATGCCTGGTTGTTACAATCCTGGGGAACACGGCAGGTGCTTGATGGGAGCCTACAAGTGGGTCAGTCCTAAACAATGAAAAATTGGGCCACTTAAGTGCCAAAGCTGCCACAGTGGAGGGACACCTGATATCAAGCCCCCTCCTCGGACACCCAGGGGAAGCAGGGCCTTAGCTGGTTAGCAGCAGGGTCAGTTCTAAAACCCAGGCTCCTTTTCCCCCAATTCAACAGTTATTCAGTAACAACATGTATAATATAAGTGACAAGGACGCTTGATATCATGTTATACACTTAGCCTATTCAAGAAACAAAACTTCCTGCCTCTGCTTAAATTCAGTCCCTCTTCTTTCCACCTGACTGGTTTTCCTTCCTCCTGTAACTAGAACCAGATTATCACCCAGACAAGACTTCACATGGGTCCTGACCTCCACTCCATTCCCTTCCAAATAGCACATGAAATCATTCCTTAGCCTGGAAAAGGGGCTTTAAAAGAAAAATACTGGGCATGGCCAGATGCCAACTGAATAGTATAGAACCTTGGCATCCCAGATTATATTCATGAGAGGTCTCTGCAGTATCCCCCAAATCCGTGTCATGCTATACTTGCAAATTTTGCTGGGGCACAAATATAAAACACATGGCTGGGCTGCTGTGTTGCGTCTCTCAGCCAGGAAGCTCAGCATCTGCTTCTCAGCCCTCCTCTCTGTTCTCTCGTTTGCATGTGTCCTGGCTTTACTACCTTATATGGTACATTTCAGTACTGTCTTCATCCACCGATACAGGCACTCACAGCAGCAATGATCAATCTCAGTGTTTGCTTTCTTTGGTCTTAGAGATTCAGATAAATTGATGGTGAATGTAACACGCCTTTCATTTATTTCAATGGCAGAATTTATTTAAGGCGCTTAGATATAATATCCTTGCATTTACTAAATCGCTAAGGGTCTGAGCAGTTACATTTAAAAAGTTGCATTTCATGTGAGATGTGATCAGCTAGAGAAGTACCCTTGAATTTGAGGAGTTGCTGTCGTCTCAGAACGTAGTCCTTAAAAAATGCCAACTCAGTGCCATACTGCCATTACAAGAACCCTGAGGGGTGGCCTTTTAAAAGCCCGTGGTATTCCAGGGCACAATGTGAAATGGCTTTTCAGAGGAGAAAAGCACCTATATTCTAGAAAATGATAAATGAAAAGTTCTAACATGTATTTTTGCGTACACAGAACCACTACTTTTCTGGTTGATGATACCATCTGTCAGTAATTATGAAAAGAGCTAAAACATATATAGTACTCACTATATGCCAGGAACTGTTCTGGCATTTGACATGGATTAATTCATCCTCATAGCAACTCTGAGGTAGGTACTATTATTATTCCCATTTTAATGATGAAGAGACTGAGGAAAGGAAGGACTAAATGACTTGCACAAGGTCATCCATCTAGAAAATGGTGCAGCAGGCATTTCGGCCAGAGTCCATGCTCTTAACTGCTAATCTACACTGCTTAATGCATCAACTATGTGAGAGCTACTGTTTGTCTGTTGGTTCTTTCATTCATTGGTTCATTCATTCACTCACTCACTCATTTATTCATTTTTTAAAAACATGTTTTTATTTTAGAGAGAGATAGAAACATCGATATGAGAAACAATGATCTGCTGTCTCCTGCACGCCCCCTACTGGGGATTGAGCCCAAAACCCAGGCATGTGTCCTGACTGGGAATCAAACTGGGACCACTCTGGTCCATGGGACAATGCTCAATCCACTGAGCCACACTGTCTTGGCTTCACGCACTCATTTAAATGGAGGGCCTTCTCTCTATCTAGGATTTATCAGTGAACAATGCAGCCTAGTCCTGTCCCTGATAAGCTAGTAATCTTTCTATTAATTTTACTGAGAAAAACGTAAGGTCAAGATTAGCTCTTCCCTACTAACACTGGAGTGTACATTAGATATTTTATTTCATTTTTGCTATTTGACTTACATCATGAAGAGGGAAAGCTGCCTTGTAGATTCCAGAACTGACAAGTTTGTTAATTCCAAACTTTTTAACGTTTTCTCTCACTTGATACTTGATTCGAGAGAGGATGAAGTAAACCTGAAAAGATTACAAAACAGAGTGTGTGGTTTATACAGCATAACTAACCAATCCTTTTTACTACCATAACCAGAATCTGGAGGCATATTTCTTTTCTCTTCTGTGTCTAGCAGCTTCTAAAAACAAAACCGAGCCAACCAAACCAAACCAAACCACTAATTATTCAACAGCAGGTTGCAAATCACCCAAAGACAGCAAGTAAATTTGGTCTGGACTTACAATGCGGCTTCTGGTGGCTGGATTAAAGAAGGTATCTTTATCATGAATATAAAAATCATTCATCCGGTTCTTCTCAAATGGGGCAGTGAAAAACTCTTGCTCTGGCTTGATGATACTTTCATCCACTTGGAGGACTTTGCTAAACCAGGTGAAGTTACCGAAGGCTGAAGACCGGGTCTTCAGATCATTGGGTTTCAGAGGTAATTTGATATGCATTAACTCTGCATATGTACACAACACCTCCCATGGGGCATGCACCTTCACAAATACAAGCCTGTCATCCAAAACCTATATTGGAAGAATAAAAACACAATTTAGGAAACCAAACATACAGATTTTTCTTATGTGGTTGGTAGTTAAACACACGCATATGTGAACATACACACAGATGCTAGTGTAAGTAAAGATACAATAAAAAAGACATTTGCAAACTACTGTTCACTTTTTGCCTAAAAGATAACTTCTTAGTTTGAATTACTAAGTAATTAAAAATCTTATCATAATTCCTAATATTTTAAAAGAAGAAAAGCAAACTTGTTCATTTGCCTACCACTCATCCAAATTAGTGAATAAAAATTAAAACACTGGAATATTACAATGTTATTGTAATAACAACTTTTTCATTTCTTAAACCCAGGACTGTTTAATTTATTATATTTGTTCAATATTATGTTATGTGGTCATTATAAAGGATGTCAGAGGATGTTTATTGATATAGAAATGCATTTACTATATATTAAAGGGAAAAAAGTAAATTAAATCCCTGTGATATTATAATGTCTCCTTTTGGAAGACAAAAATGGATATATTTGAGCAAAAAAATTTTAGAAGGACTACAAGGTTATTTATGGATAATTAAGATAAAGGTGATTTGTATTTTCACTATTCCTACACTTTCTTTTTTTTGTAAATTATTACTTGTATAATAAAAAAATCTTAAAAAAATTTTTTTTAAATAAGAAAATAATCACTTATACCTGTATTTATTGTTCCATTCTTTGGCAACTACCAAAGATCTGCTGGCTTCGATCAGAAGCACGTACATTCTATAACGCAGATTATGACCAACTCCCGCCCAGCCTGTAACTAAGGCCTGGCTGGGACTGTATGTTTCAGACGCCCTTCCAGCATTCCAAGTGACAAGCGAGTTCCCCAGAGCCACGCGGCCAAGGGTTGGGAAGGGACTGCCACTTACCGATCTTGTTGCTTCTAGCTGCAGGCCGTCATGGATGAGGTTAGATTCATATGCTTGTCTTTTTTTCTGTTGAACGAAATCGGAACATATTAGGCCTTTAGTTTTACCAAGGCTAGAAAAAGATTGTGTGTGTGTGTATGTTTAAAGAAAATATAAACATCAAATCAGTTTGAACCTGATGAAGAGAGACATGCGCTCAAAATGACACAGGAGCAACTGGAGGTCTCTGGCTGTTGGTGGCCCGTGGGCGTTGGCTTCCTCAGAGGGGTGCCGTGGAGCACACTTGGGAAAGCCCTTGGGTGTCCCACAGATTTTCAGTCATTTGAGGTACATAAGAATCTCTAATTTGGGCACAATTCCAAGGATTTCTTTTTTTTTGGCTTATAAGAGATTTTACACACAAATGGATTTTTTTTTTTTTAAAAGTACCTTTCACTGATGTTGTTTACCAGTTATAGCCCAGATCTGACATTCTAAATTTTTAAAATGTTATTTCCATATCAGGCATTCGAATGGTTCAGTTTTGGACAAGGCATTTCACCTCTGCACGCCTTGACCAAATTCAATAAAACAACACAGAACATTTTGGCACAAGAAAGGAATTTTTCTCTTTGCAAGACTGAGATGTTTTTAAAGCTATAAAAAACGTCTAACTCTACAAAACCAGGGAACTAATGAACTGATAATATATTTGTCCATGTTATGAGGCCATCTGAAAAGATACAGAATCTAGTGCTATATTTATTGACATTAAATTCTATACTTGGCTAGGGTTTTATCAAACTGTGTCCTGAGTTGTAAGGGAAGCAGGTAGAGATAGGAACTTGTTTGCCTTTTTAATGAACATAACAGTCTGAGGAATACAGTAGACCCAGACACATGGAAGTAGGGCACAGACTGACATCCCTCAGAAAAGGGGATGGGGGGTGGGGGGGTGGGAAGAGATAAACCACAGAACTTATATGCATGTATGCATGACCAATGGACATGGACAACTAAACCGGGGACAGGGTGGAGGGGGGGTGGGGTGGGGGTGCCAATGGGGTAAAAAGGTAAAATATCTGTAACAAAAAAATAAATAAAAATTCATAAAATAAAAAAAATAAAAAAAAAAAAGAATGCTTTTGATGATGAGGAAATTATACAGTGTTATGAACAGAAGAAAATGAGTTCACATGGATTAAACACACAAGCTGTGAAAAACTGTGAAATTCACCTCTCTGACTCTTGGCAGGAACAAACTCTCTTGCCTCATTTTTCTCATCTGTAGAATGGAGAAAACCTCACCAGTTTCCTGCTGGGTTCTTGCGAGGGTTATATGATTTAAACCACACAAAGCACATAAACTAGAATTTCTATCTCTAGTAATCACAGGAGGTAAACTGGACCAATTTCCCCACTGGAGAAAACGGAAAAATCTAGATTAAAAGAATTTTTTTAAACGTCAGCTGTTAAGCCCTGGCCAGTTTTGCTCAGTGGTTAGAGCATCAGCCTGCAGACCAGAGAGTCCCGGGTTCAGTTGCGGCTAAGGGCACGGACCTTGGTTGCAGTTTGCCCTCGGCCCCGGTTGGGGTCGTGTGGGTGGCAACCAGTCGATGTGTTTCTCTTACATCGATGTTTTTCTCTCTCTCTTCCTCCCTCTCCCCTTCCAATCTATCAGAAGATGAATACAAAAATATCCTTGGGTGATGATGAAAAACTACAATAATAAAGTCTAAAAAAAAAAAAAAACGTCAGCGATTAAGATAAGAGAGGAATCAGTGAGCCAGGCCGAGGTACACGGCTTTGCCCAGGGAGCCCCCTTGGTTTGCCGAGGCTGTGGTGACCCGTGGGCGTCGGTGCCCGGAGGGTGGCTGAGCTGCTGAGCTCCCGACAGCGCCTAGCACAGGCAAAGCACCTCACGAATGTGAAGCAGATGCTGTGGACAAAAGACCGATCGTCAACAGGTGAAAAGAACACACCTGGAGTTTGGCTAAATATGAATCCAAGTGGAATCCCTAACATTTTACGGAATTATCCGAAACAGAACTCTGCTTTATTTTTATGTATTTAGTAAATCGTTATATAGTACATACAACATGCCAGACACTGTACTAGAGCTTTGCAGATATAACAGATGTAATCGCTTGTTACAATCTGAGCGGACATAGTCACTTAGAGAAAAACCAGCAAGTACTACAGCGCCTTTAAAAATAAACAAGCAAGCAGCCTAGGAATGCCCAGTCTGAGGAGACCGGAGCTGGAGGTGCAGTCCTCCCCCGAGCTCCCGGCACACGACTGTCCCCTCTGCCTGCCTCTCACCCCTGCCACCTCTGCAATTCTCCAGGCCACATTTCTCAGCCCTTTCTACCCCCGACCTGCCGTATCCCCGACCTCACCTTGGGAGGCTGAGCCAGACTCACCCTGCTTCGTGCCGAGGCAGTATGTCTTCACTCTAGATCCTAATTCTCAGCTTGGTTCCTGCATGGGAGCCCACTCCTCCCTCCCGACGGCTTTTCGTTGCTACTGGGTAAATGCATTTTTGATCTGTAAGCAATGTTTAACCTGGCTGGCGCGGAGTATATGCCCAATACATGTTTGTGGAAAGAATATACTTAACAACACTTATGAATTCATTCTACAAACTTTTTCTGAGAGCATCCTACAGAGAATTTAAGATTCAAAGAAAAATTTAAAGTAGTCTGCTATAGAAGAACTACAGAGACACTCAGCATCCCTTGACCTAAGGGTCTCCTGATGCAGAAGGAATAAAACATTTATTCACGTGTTTCGTGGCACTGTAATGGACATTTATTCACGTGTTTCGTGGCACTGTAATGGATGGCTGTCATTCTTTATGGCCACCCAGCACTTCAACTCCTGCCAGAGCCCACAGCCACGACAGCAGGTAACAACTCAGACACTCCCAGTCCTGGTCTCCCCTGAGGTTCAGTGACTGGCACACAGGCTAGACCTTGTTGATCAGGCCGCCCGCTCCGGGCTCTGCATCAGAAGCTAGCAATGCAAAGAAGTCGGGCCAAGCAGAAACCATTCTGGGGTGACTGGGAGAGCAAATGCCAGTTCCCGAGATGGCCCAGGTTTTAGCAGGAGCTTTAGGGGACCACTGCCGGTCAGAGGTGCCAGGGTAGGGACCACTCTTGCCCATCCTGGCACTGCAGTGGGATCTGGGGCACTGCTCTGGCTGCCTAGTCTCCAGGCATGTTTGCCCAACCCCTCCGAAGACCCTTCGAGCTCTCTAACGTGCACTGACAAACTCCCTGCGTGCTGACATTGGAGCTCATTTCTGTCACTTGCCAGTGAGAATCCCGACAGAGAAGTCACGGACTAGGGAAAAGTTGTTGGCCTAAAGCTTAAATCACTGTACAGTGCAGGTGGCAGGTGTCCTTCCGAGATGACTCACCCTGAGCCTGCGCAGGGGGCCACCCAGACTGTCTCACTAGCGGGTCCTAGCAGGATCTATGACTGTGTCTTCTGCATCCTGTACGTCAGTCAGAAATAATTTCAATTAGGACGTAAAGCTCAGACCCAAGGATTTGAGCTCTTGTAGACAATGTCCTAGTTAGAAGAGTAGAAAAATCAGTCAGAGGGGCTTCTCCAGTGGTTTAATGGGTATGTTAACAATTAAGTACTGGTAAAAAGAAATCATATAACATGTTAATTGGCCTTATTAGAAATTCACGGATCCTATCAGTTAGGCACTCCATGATGCTCTCCTACCTGGCCTCTACTCATCCCCCAGGGAGCTGTTCAAACTTTCAAGACGCTCCTCAGACTCCACACCTAACTCCCAGGCCAGCAGACTCCAAGTGACCTTGCCTCCTTTGTCACAGAGAAACTGGCAGCCACACACTGGGAATCTCCTGCAGGTGTCTTTACACCTGTCGACAGCTGGATGTCATCTCTCTTTCTAGTGTCAGAAGATTGCATCCTTTTCCTATCTCTTCTTGAGCTTGGTGCAGCAATCCCTTCCCTTCATCCTTTGTTCTTCATTGCTCTTACTCAGCCAACACACGCCCTCAAATGTCTCTCATCTTTAAGAATATTCAATCCTTCCACAGCCCTGCCCGCTCTTCAGTTACCATCCCTGCCCCTGGAGATGCTTGTCTTTTAATCTTGATATCCTCAGCACTTAGGCCTATAACAGAAGAAACACGCAATAAATGTCTAATGAATGAATGAATAAATTGAGTGGATGGTGGATCGATGGCTGCCTGGTAAGAGAAAATGAACTGAGGAATACAAATCACTGCAGTGTAACTGGGCTCACCTGTCCTGAGCCCTGCAAAATGTTCCACGAACTTTTACTTACAGTATTACAAAATATGATGAAGAAGGAGAGATGCTGTTTAATTCTGGAGTGTACTAGCTCTGGATAGCTCAGGGCAGAGTGAAGTGACTTCCAGAGACCTTGGACTCTGAATTACTACCTGACAAAAGGGGGATGGTTTGGAGAGCTGGGAAGGAACCAGCCCCACAAGACGGCAGCTCTCTCATCAAACATACAAACACAAACTACTCCTGCCTTGGTTGTACCAACTGTATCAACCAAGACCACAACGTGCCGCATGGTGAAGAAGGACACAGTTCCTCCTTTGTTGATTTCTGAGGCTGTAGCTTCTCATGCCCTTCACGGGACCCTCCCCTCTCAGGCTTCAGTAGCCCACATTGTCCCTCTAGCTCTTGCAGTTTGGGTCTGCTTTTCACTCCTGGGCATAATGGTTAGAGTAGGAGTCAAAACTGAAATCCTGGTTCTGCAATGTGCTAGCTCTGTGATGGGCAAATAATTGAAACTCTACAAGCATCAGTGGCTTCATCTAAAAAATGAGATAAGAAATAGCTTCATTTTGGAGTTATTTAAGGACTAAATGTGATCATGGGTATAAAGTACATGCTACATGGCCCTTCGAACATGCTCAACTTCCCTTATTTCTTTTAAAAATATCCTCTCTACCCTGTAAGTTTTATACTCTCATCTGTACTTTTTCATGCTAAACATCTGAGCAAAAATAGGTAATTCCCACTTGGCCTCCACACTATGCACCCAATGACACCTTAATCCCTGCAGT